GATATTTTTTTCCCTTTTGGAGAAAAGATTCTCACTGTATTTTAGCCAAAAAAAATTAAGGAGATAATAGTCAATAGCTGATGGAATTAATCAGTAGGAATTTTTAAATAATTGTTCCATTCTTAATTTGATAGACCTTATCCTAGTATTAATGTAAATTATGGTAAATAAATATCTTTAAATTTGAAGATTATTATATCCAAATGGTTGTATGTACAATATAATAGTTAAACAGCATTATGCTAGAAAGAGTCTCTCAGGATGGCACACAGTGGGGCTGGGATGGGTGGCACTCGGAAGGGCAGCTCTTCCCTGGGCAGGAATTTGCTGAGCTCTGCAGGCCATTCAAGGTCCATGGTTCCTGCCCGCGAAAGCCAGTAACACTCCCGAGTCACGGCGACCACCCACCTGCCCCCCACCTGACCCACACGCCCTGCGGGGGAGATCCACCTGGCTGGACCCAGTAGTCAGAGGCACACACACACACACCTCTCCTAGGCCCCGGAAATCTGCTGGGAATGAAGGCAGTGGACTGCTCCTGGGACGAGGGCCTGTATAAGGTGGAGAAGTGGTTACACGAATTGAAACTTACGTAAAAACCCACTGAGCTGTACACCTGGGTGGTATATATTTTAGTGCATCTGTAACGGGACAATCAATGGGTGTACACTGCCTGTCACTACTTGAGCTAATTCAGCAGAGACAGGGCTGGATCATATATGAGCTGTTTATTCCAATCCTGCCAGCAGCGTGGGAGAGCAGCGGGTCGCCCACAAATATCTGCTCTGCACCCCCATAAGCCAGTTGCTCATATTGGGTAGAAGGACAGAGATGGCATGGGAAGTAGGCAAAGGGTAGGCCACATGGGCAGTTTACAGGTCATGGGGGCTGGCGATTTGCACAGGCCTGTGGGTGTGCAAGGACTGGGGCCCTCCAAAGGGCTGGCGGCTCTGGTTTCTGAAATGAAGTTGTTAGTGTTTCCATGGTAACAGGCAGCTCCCTGCGAGGAGGACTGGCTGCATTTCCAGGTGAGCTCTCAGATCCCACCTGCAGCCCCCAGCCAGGTGAGAATGTGCCTTCTTCAATCAGAACAAAACCATGGTTCACAGAGCAGGATTCATATTATGCTGGACCCCAATATTCTATTTTTGCCCCTATCACAGCTGGGTTCCTCCTCAATTAACAAAAACTCCCCCCTGAGCAGGACGGTGCGCAGGCACCAGAAATCATCCTGAGCCAGGATGGAAGACGGGGTCTCCTTCTCTGCAGCCCACGGTTTCGATGTGGGGCGGTTCCCTTTCTTGCCCTCCGTTAGGAAAGAACCCGAATTAAATGTCAGCACAGCACCTCCTCAGCCAGATTGTGGGCACATGAGCAAATAGAAGGGGAGACCAAAAATACTGGTCACGTACGTGCAATGCTGTGCCTGTTGGAGCTCAGCCGCCGTCTCTTGCCATTTAATTAAATCAATGGCGTTATTAATGATATTGGTCCATCCAACATAATTATCAGAGGAGGCTGACATTTTCCCAATGCGATCAGGTTGCTCTGCATTTCTCTGCTCTTCTGCGGAGGATGGATTATCGCTGGGAGCCACTCCTTTGTCACGTCAGCGACATGAATCGGCGTGAATGGATATGGCCAGATGTACAATATTCCCTTTGTTTTCCGAGCAGAAAGCCATTAACAGTTATCTCAGCATTCCTGTGTTCCTGACACCTGTAAATTGATGTATGGCCTTCCCGGAGCAGGAGGCGGAACAAAAGAATCTTCGTTTTCTTTATGTTTATCCTCACCCAGTTTCACGGCACTGGGTGAGGTGTGGGTTCCCTCCCTGGCAGCCCTGACTGCGGAACTGGGAGTCATTCACTCGGCCTGACAATTATTAAGAGGCGTTTCTGGCCCTGGCTGGTGTGGCCCAGTGGATAGAGCACCGGCCTGCGGACTGAAGGGTCCCAGGTTCGATTCTGGTCAAGGGCATGTACCTTGGTTTCATGCACATCCCCAGTAGGGGGTGTGCAGGAGGTAGCTGATCGATGCTTCTCTCTCATTGATGTTTCTAACTCTCTATCCCTCTCCCTTCCTCTCTGTAAAAAATCAATAAAATATATTTTTTTAAAAAGGCGTTTCTTGAGGGGACAGGCCCGAGGAAGTGAGGGTGATGCGCGCCCCATTGCGAGCAGGCCCGGTGCCTGCTGTCGGCGCTCACTCCTGCAGGCATTGACTGATTGCTAAGCCCCGTGTGCGGGAAGGAAATGAAATGTAAACCATTCCACTAGCGAGTGAGAGCGCTGTTCCTGGCGGTTACCTACACCCACTCCATCATCCTTAAATCTTCGCTCCGGACACTGTGGCCAGAGTGCTTCCCTTCCTGCGGCTGTAATAAAAGCTGCTGGTCTGCTTCAGGCTTCCCGAGCAGGAAAGTCTTGTTTGAAATGGAGATGCTCCGAGTTCATTCCAGCCTTAGGATTCCGTGTGGCCGGCGCAGTGTTTGCTTCTCCCTCCGGGAGGAGGGGTCCGGGTAGCCCCTTCCGCTCTGCGCCCAGAGCCTCCTCTGGAGACGGCTGGTGGAGGGGTGAGCAGTAAAACCCCAGCCTCGAGCACACAGACAGCAGTGTGCGTCTCAGAGGGGGCGGGAGGGGGGTGGGAAGGAGAAGAGGGGGATCCATGCTGATGGAAGGAGACCTGACGTGGGTGGTGAACACAATACAATACACGGCTGGCGGTGTATGCGGTGTGCCTTCCATCGGTGGTTCTGTTATGTCTGACAAGTATGACCTCACTTGACCTCACCCTGTGCTACGGGCGGCGATGCTTCTGTCCCGTGTGCAGATGAGCCAGAAAGGGGGGCACTCCCGGGCCACAAGGAAGGCAGTGGGTGTCACCTGCTGACTCAGGGCCCTGTTCTTACACCCACCTCGCTCCCGTCCGCTGGTCAGCGGGCAGAGTGCCTTTGCGTGGGGGGGGGGGGGGGCGGTGAATGGACAGAGGCCAAGGCTCGCCCCCACACCCACTTCTCAGAGCAGCAGAGGGATGTGGGGGAACCACATCTGGGCAATCTGAGGTCATTGCAACGTGAAGGGCGCATGCGTGTTAGGGGCTGTTCTGGAGAAATGACCGTGTTTCCGTGTCGTTGTGTTGGGGCACTCCTGTGCAGGATGCATGCCGGCCCGTGTTTCTGTTCTCCTGGAAACAAGCATGTTCTTAATCACGGTCACACCAATCACTCCAGGCCACCAGAGTCTGGCGTGAAGGGTCCCTGTGGCCACACTGAGACATCTGTGTCCTTGAGCTCCATGTCAGGATGATCTCGTCCTCCCAGGATGAGTAGGGTGAGGAGGGAGATGTAAACCACCCTGTCCAATTCATGGAAGCCATCAGTTCTTTTTCTTGACTAGAGGTGATGTCGTTGGAACCGACGAATCAGGCATCAGCTTGAGGTCACTGGCTCCCCAACATTTTTGAATGTATTTCCTTGTCTTAGTTCCAACTCCAACCTGAGATCTCATAAATGCTTCCATCGGATGTGTGGCCTCAGCTTCAGCTTCTTGGAAGAAAGGGGGATGGGAATATAATTGTGTAGCTATCTTTCTGTTTCAAAATGTACTTACTGCCCTGCTGGTGAGGCTCAGTGGTTGAGCGTTGACCTATGAACCAGGAGGTCATGGTTCGATTCCCGATTCGGGCACATGTCTGGGTTGCTAGCTCATTCCCCAGACGGGGCCATGCAGGAGGCAGGTGATCAACGATTCTTTCTCATCATTGATGTGTAGTAACTATGTGGTTTTTAAAAACATATATATTTTTATTGATTTCAGAGAGGAAGGGAGAGGGAGAGAGAGAAACATTACCAGTGAGATAAAATTATGGACCAGCTGCCTCCTGCACACCCCACACTGGGGATGGAGCCCCCAACCTAGGCATGTGCCTTGACTGGGAATCGAAATTGTGACCTCCTGGTTCATAGGTCGATGTTCAACCACTGAGCCATGCCAGCTGGGTCCTTACAGTCTCATTTTAAGCCAGGGGCTCAATGATTCTTCCTTTTTTGTGAGAGAGACTTATTGGATTGAGACTAGGTAGTTACAAAAGTCAGATCATTGCTGTTGAGCAATTAGCACCCAAGGCTATTTTACTGTGGCTGCTCGAGGCATCGCGAGAGTAATGGAAACGGAGCCTGGCCTCCCTTGGAGGCCCTCGGTGGTTGTTATGCTCCGTTTCAGGGTAGGATGATGTATTCATCTGGAAATGTGGTTTCCTAATAGCATCGTGGTTTTGGAAGCCTTTCCCTTCACACATAGGACAGCTCATTAAACAAGCACATGCAATGGCCTTCAAGAAATCAGCACTGAATATTAATAGCAGAGTATTAAATAATAGATTGCAGGTGACAAGTGATACATAACTATAAACAGTGAACTAGGGCTGCTGCTCTCGGTGTGTTTTGGAGAGAGAAGGACCAGCAAAGCTTGAAGGTCAAGGCGTGAGCGTGTTGCCCTCATACTTTCTCCCTTCAAAACAGCTACACGGTTGAGCGTCCCGAACCTTTTCCCAGTGGGTGGGACTAGTGTTTGCCGTTTGGCAGTGCTCAGCTTTTCATAATGGAAGCAGTTTTTTTGTTTGTTTGTTTGTTTGTTTGTTTTTTAACACATTTTATATTGCGGATCAGAGTGATTCTTTACGGAAAGATACCTTTGAAAATATTTTTTTATTACTAATGTAAGCCCTATCCAGGCCACCAATTGATGTGTCTCTCTCACATCGGTGCCTCTCTCTCTCTCTCTCTCTCTCTCTCTTTCTCTCTCTTTCTCTCTCTTTCTCTCTCTCTCTACTCCCCACCCTCCCTTCCATTCTCTTTAAAAAATCAATGGAAAGATATCCTCAGGTGAGGATTCACAACAACAACAAAAAGAAAGATAAACTCAATTTCTGTGGTGTTGACATTTTAGGGTCAATGAGCTTCCAGTCTGAGTTATTCTGTATTTTTTCTGTGTTTCCAGGTCGACCCGGTTCCCCTCAGCTTCTCCCCGAAGGGCAGCGGGGACAGGGCCCCGTCTTCTGTGCATCCTCCTCCCGGAAGAGCCATGGAGAGGCCGCCGGGCGCCAACGGAGCCGTCCTCTCCCTCCTGTCCCTCCTCCTGCATCTCGCCAGCGCCTCTGACATCCCGCTCTCAGGTACGGTGACGGCGCAGCCCCGGCTCTCTGGGGTCTGATCTCAAGTAGGACACGTCTAGATCAAGGAGGCGTTTTTGACCCTATTCCTGTGTATGTCCCATCACCCGGTCAGAATCTGCCCTGGTGTTCCTCAGTGTTGGCCTGGCTTGCACTACGCTGCCCAACGCCATTCCTTCCCGGCAGGGCTTTGTGCCTCCCAGCAGACGTGGCCTGTGACAGTGGTCGGCAAACTCATTCGTCCACAGAGCCAAATAGCAACAGGACAACGACTGAACTTTCTTTGGAGAGCCACATTTTTTAAACTTAAACTTCTTCTAATGCCACTTCTTCAAAATAGACTCGGCCAGGCCGTGGTATTTTGTGGAAGAGCCATACCTAAGGGGCCAAAGAGCCGCACGTGGCTTGAGAGCTGCAGTTTGCCGACCACGGGCCTATGAGAACGTAAGCTAAAGATTGGGAGGTATTTTGTCTTATAAAATGATCTCAAATATGACTAACAGCTGCTCTTTTATACATTCAGGTTAGTTTATTTTAGGGACAAGTATAATTTAGAAATTACTGGTACCCAACCAATCATAACAAAAAAAAAGGAAACGAATACACTTGGTATTCTTTTTTTAAAAAAATGATTATATATTTAGGAATGAAAAATGGGATTGGAAAGTATTAAGCAGCCATTTTTATTGCGCGTACATCCGCACATCCGATGGCGCCCACTGCCCACTGCAGCTGCAGGCACCTGTCCTGTGAGTTTACAGCAAGAGTGTAGTCAGTGGGTTTATGGAAGTTTATATCTTGGCATATTTTAGTAGAATGAACGCAGATCTAAAAAATCATAAATCTATTAAGTTAGAGTAATTAAAAACCCCAAAACAATGTGTCTGTAACCAGTCAGTAGGTCCGGACGGCCTGTTAGCACTTGAGCCAGTTAAGCACAGACAGGATTCCTACTGAACCCTGTATGAGTGTTTATTCCAATCCTGCCGGCAGCATGGGAGAGCAGAAGGTTGTTCACAAACATCTGCTCTGCCCTCACCTCCCTCAAAGCCGGGTGTTAATATTGGGTAGAAGGACAAAGATAGCCTGGGAAGTAGGCAAAGGGTAGGCTAAATGGGCAGATAACAGGTAATGGGGGCTGGGGATCTTCAAAGGGCTTAGTAACATGCAAGGGCTGGGGCCCTCCAAAGGGCTGCGGCTCTGGTTTAATCTTTCCATGGTAACGGGCAGCTCCCTGTGAGGAGGACAGGCTGCATTTCCAGGTGAGCTCCCAGGTCCCCCCTGCAGCCCCAGCCAGGTGAGAACGTGTCTTCTTCAATCAGAACAAACCAATCCCCGTTCACAGAGCAGGACTGATGTTTCTTACCATTATAGCTGGGCCCAGTATTCTATTTCTGCCCGTACCATCTGCAAATGCAACGTATGTGGCAGTATGTTAGCTCCAGGGTAGAGATTGGGGGACATCCTCTTGTGTGATAAGCGGATGAGACATAAGAAGACCCTGGAGAAGTTACTGAGATGTTTCGTCCATAACGTTCAAGGGTCATCCGCCTGGAACTGAGAGCTATAACCAGTGAGGCTGGGGCTCCTTAGACTCTCCGCGTTGGGGCGGGCTCCAGGTGATCCTTGTCTGGGGAATTGGTCTGCGCTCAGCAAGTCGGATACGCAGGTGCCAGCCCTTAGAAAATCCCGACAGTCCCACTGAGACCAACTGACCAGGTTAGCTACTGTGCTGGAAACCGCTTTCTGAGGCTTCCTTAAGTTATTGGACATCGTATGCTGGCGGCAGCCTGTACCGGAGCCCTCCACCCCCTATGAGAGTCCCTTCCCCACTCTGCAGACATGTTTCCATGTTCCTAATTAAGGAACCCCACTGACCCACTCCGCAGACGTGCAGATTCGAGGTTCTCTGAGGCGAGGTGCAATCTGCTGGCTCTCACACACCGGACGCCAGCCTCGCTGCAGAAACAGCGCCGGGAAGGGCCTGCAGAACTCCGTCCTCTGTGGGTTCCTGGGCTTTGAGTCGCAAGGCCTCACTGGGAGGGAGGTTCTCCGTGATCCTCGAGGGAAAGGAGCGAACCTCACACTTGCCCCAGGGCCGTTCCTGACCCGCAGTCCCCCTCCTCTCTGAGAACAGCCGCTCCCTCTCCCTCTCTCCTCCTCTGTCTCCGTCCGCACTGCTCATTTTCATTCCCGGTGTCTCAGCTACTTGTGCGTTCTCGGGCCGCACGGCCCTTCGACAACAATTGTTATAAAATATTAATGGCTTGTGAATATTACCCGTTTATTTCCGGACTCTGGAGCGAATGAAACGGAGGCAGGTATTCAAATAGGGTGTCAGCACATCTGGTGTCTGTGTAATTGGCCTAATTATGGAGGAAGGATTTATAACGCAGAATATCTATTCTTATAAACACCCCAAGGTGGTGAGCCCCGCTCCCTGAGTAATTAGTGATGCGGAGACTTTACAACCTTGGCAAATTTAGGAGAGAATAACGCTCTCACAAACAAGTTGTTCACAAGCCATTAGCTGCTGTCTCAGGGACCGCGGCTATTGTGCACCGTCCCTCAACATTGATAACGGTAGTAACATTTGAATAACACGAATATGCATTCAGCTCAAGACCTGTGTGACTTAGACATAGCATTAACCAGAAACAAGGCAAATGTCCGTGCCCATACGGATGTTATTGAAGAATTTATCAGTTCCCAGTGGATAAAGCCTGAACCTGAGCTAATGGCCCTCAGTGAGTGAAACACAATTATCAGATTCATTAGGCACAAGTAAATAAAATGGAATTTTAAAATTGGAAGTGGCATGGAGTTATTGTTCTAAGCCAGTGGTCGGCAAACTCATTCATCAACAGAGCCAAATATCAACAGTACAGCGATTGAAATTTCTTTGGAGAGCTGAAAACTGACTTGTGGGCATGGGCCATGAAGTTTCAATTGCATTGTACAATACGTGCGTGCCCACAAGCTGTATTTTGTGGAAGAGCCACACTCCAGGGGCCAAAGAGCCGCATGTGGCTCGCGAGCCAGTTTGCTGACCACGGTTCTAGGCTGAGCGTCCATCATAGGTCCACCTAGTACCTCTCCGGTCCCAGAGGCACATCGGGCAGTCTGTGGTCAGACCTTTCACGGTAACACCGCCTGGCATTGCTGCTTTTCGTGACACAAACAGGTGCCTTATGTCACAAAAGCACCGGGGGTAGATGGTGTCGCCCTGACGGAGATCCAGGTGTTGGCAGCCAGCTGGGCCAGCAGGCAGGGTGTTCTGCACAACCCTCTACTCTCAGTAAAACCAAACCAAACCAAAGTTTTGCTTAAGACTCTCTTGTGCAGCCCGGCTGGCATCGCTCAGTGGCTGAGCATTGACCTATGAACCAGGAGGTCACGGTTCAATTCCTGGTCAGGGCACCACATGCCTAGATTGTGGGCTGGATCTCCCAGTAGGGGGTCAGCAGGAGGCAGCCGGGCAATGATTCTCTCTCATCATGGGTGTTTCTCTTTCTTCTCTCTCTCCCTTCCTCTGTGAAATCAATAAAAAATAATTTTTAAAAAAGATTGTCCTTGTTGAAGCGATTAACATGCTAATTGCTCTTATTAAATGTCCGTCTTGAGCACATTCTTCTTCATAATCTGTGGCTGAGTGGGGTTCTGCCTCTGACCACAGCCCAGGTGGTCCCGCTTCTTCACCGAGTCATGGTGTGAGCACCGTTTTTACTCCAAAGACCACGGCAGACCGAGTTGCGCAAGTGGGTATGTGGCAGGTGTTGCTCCCCGTGGATCCGTGGGCCCGGTCACGTCAAGGCGGACAGCTGACAGTATGTGTTGCCATTGATAAAACCACAAATCGATAGCCTCCCCTCAGAGCCTGACAGCTTCCCGCCGGTCAGATCAGTGAGGATATTGACAAAAGTGAATTTTGAATCCTGTGGAATGAGATGTATCAGGATTGGCAGGTGGTTGTCACTCAGGGAACCAATACTTTTTCCAAAGGGTTATTGTGTGATGTTATAAGATCGTGCATGATAAAAAGAATCCGCAGATCAGACATTTTACTGCAACAGAGTATGAACAGTTTATGGCCATGGTTTCAGACTCCACATTGCAATGAAGAAACTGCCACTCCGCTGGCTGATGTGGCTCCGTGGATAGAGCTTCAGCCCATGGATTGCAGGGTCCAGGGGCATTACCTCGCTCCGTTGTAGGCTCAATCCCGGCCCTGGTGAAGGTGTGTGTAGGAGGCAACCCATCGATGTGTCTCTCTCACATAGATGCTTCTTTCTCTGCCTCTCCCCCTCCTTTCCACTTTCTCTAAAAATCCTTGGAAAAATATCCTTGGGTGAGGATTAGCAAACAAACACATTTGTATTAATTTGTATTAAATGTTAAAAAAAAAAAAAAGGCAAAGAAAAGAAAGAAACTGCCACTTGTTGAGTTGGTGAACTCTCTAGGGCACCATCCACAGTCTCCAGATGGGACTGGAAAATGTCTTATCTCCTCAGGGACAGACCTGTGTGAGGCTGGGTTTTCTTATCTTTATTATCTTCTTCTTTAAAAAAAAAAATACATTTTTACTGATTTCAGAGAGAAAGGGAAAGGGAGGGAGAGATAGAAGCATCAAACCCGCAACCTGGGCATGTGCCCTGACCAGGAATCCAACCAAGACCTCCTGGTTCCTAGGTAGACACTCAACCACTGAGCCACACCTGCTGAGCTATTTTCTTCCTTTTTTCTTGAGATCTTAAAGCAAGACAGTTTCAGCAACAGATTTGCTGCAGACATAGATGAGAACCTACGTCTCTCAGGATATAAAGAGGTTTGCAGCAAAATGAAGCAATGCCAGGTCTCTTATTCTATTCTGTGTTTTTTGTTTTTATAAAACATGTTATTTATTTCAACCTGTGATGGGATTATTGTTAATGGACTAATACACATTTTAAGGATTTTTAGTTCTGATTTCTAATAAAGTGGAACATGAAGCAGTGAAACCGAGGGCGCACAGGGGAAGCCCGTCTCATCCTGTTATGTCCACCTGTTCAGACCTTTTTCTCGTCAACACAGATAGCAGGTGACAGCGTCTCTATGGCAACTAGCTCACCTCACCACTGTTTTCACCATTCAGTTCAACAGGTTCCGACCATCACGAAGCAGTCCAAGGAGCAAGTCGCCTTTCCCTTCGATGAATATTTTCAAATCGAGTGTGAGGCCAAAGGCAATCCGGAGCCACGGTGAGTATCCTCCCGCCTGCGGCTGTGAGGTATGGAACCCCCTTTCCTTCCGCTTCCTGGTTCATAGCAGCCGCCCCCTTTCTGTAACCTCACCTGGGGGAGGGGAGAGACAAGAATGTTCTCTTTCCTGGGGTCGCTGACCCCGTTCTCGAGAACCCCACCCTCATGACCTCATCCTTTCCCACCGCCCAGCCTCTGGCCCCATCACACTGGGGACTGAGCTTCAGGACAGGGATTTAGGGAAATGTACACATCAGTCCACAGCAGCCTGTCAGATATCTCCTATGATAGCCCATTCAACATATTTTTCATCAGAAATTAAATGTCCTGTCATTTCTGTGCATTGGTGTATACATACTTTTTGGACACGGTATCATTTTTCCAGGTCATTAAGCTGAGTTTTCGTTACAGATTTACGTGGACGAAAGACGGCAAGCCCTTTGACTTCTCCGACCCTCGGATCATTGCCTCTAACAACTCGGGAACCTTCCGGATCCCAAACGAGGGGCAGATAGCTCACTTCCAAGGGAAATACCGCTGCTTCGCTTCCAACAAGCTGGGAGTGGCGATGTCGGAAGAAATAGAATTCATAGTTCCCAGTGAGTATGACAGAGGGGATTTAGAGACGTTTTTGTCACGGGTGAGGTAGGCGGTGTTCTGGGCTCTGATGAAACAACACACCGTTCATCTAATCAGCGCACTGTGCCTGATGCCTTTTTCCTAAGGGGAATTCTCTTCCGGGTCTCTTCCACATTGACAACCTTGCAAGCAATGGGAGGTCGCTGCACTCCCATCAGTGACCTTGTGTCTAATTTGGGGAAACATAGTGGATCTCTTGCCTTGTGATGAGAACCGAGCTGCGTATGGTATTAGTCAGGGTCAGCGAGTTATGCTGCAGTAACAAGTCATCCCCAAGCGGGGTTCACACAGATCATTCCTAAATCACGTGGTTCGTGATGGGTCTGGCAGATGTCAGTCAGAGCAGCTGTTCTGTTCCCTACATGGACGACTCATCCCCGTGTTGTGGCTGCAGCACGTGACCCTGGGTCAGCAGGTTAGGGTCTGGGACAGAGAGCATGAAAATTTGCTTTCAACGAGAAGTCACCCAGGTAACTTCTAGTGGGGAGATGTCTCAGAGCAAATCCTAAAGCTCACCTAACATCACCAGGGGAGTCCCTCAGAAGAATGCTTAGCAGTCATACCTGCCATAAACAGTAGTCATGGAAACTGCAAGTGACTTACTATGGAGGGGGTCATTGGTCAATAATTACCACCACAACGAAGACTTCATCACTGCCGTGCTCATGCGATCTCTGCTGACCCACCATTACAATTGGCTGTCTTCCCTGACCTTAAAGGGGGCAGGGTCATGAGATTCTAACAAAGGCTCCCAGGATACATTCTTACCTAGAACCCTGTCATCAGCTGCCATGGGGCAGTTTCTCCTTATGGAACTCTATGCTTGAAGAGCTCAAGAACAGAGAATAGCTCACAGAACATGGCAGAGGAATAGGCCCGCACTTCTAAATCACACATCATGAACAACACGTGGGCCTTGCTCCGAAAGCCAGGGCGGGGACCGGATTGAAATGATTGCGGAGGGGAGAACAGCTAGATCCATGTAAACTCTGCATGTTACCTGTGCATGTTAATATTTACAGAGTAATTACTCTACAAGTACAGGAAAAAAAGAATGATTCTCAAACCATGTGGTGGGGGGAGGAGGAAGAAAAAGAAAGAGAAAATATAAAGTGAAATGAGCAGGCATTTTAAAAACTAAAAATAAATTCAGGTATATATCACTGATTAACAATAAAAGCAAACGGTTAATAAATGCTCCGGTTAATAAAAAGCCACGAGCCATTTACAACGTAACACACCTAAAGCGTACGGACGCAGAATCGTTAAACTGCAAGGCGGAGATGATAGCCCGGCTAAATGCTGTGCCGGCGAAAGCAGGTGTGGCTAAGTTAACGCCAGGCACCACCAACCTTCCGTTAAAAAGGCTTCCCGAGGTTAGTTCGCTAAGGTACATGTTAAACTATGCAAAGAAAACAACATAACTGCATGGAGAAACAGACAACTCCGTCATCACCGATGCCAGGCACGTAGGAGGTTTCACAAGCCAGCCCATGACCACAGTACATTTCGCCTCGTCTTTTCATTTTTTTGGGGAACTCGAGCAGAAAAATCATCCATGCCAGGCACGTAGTAGGTTTCACAACCCAGCCAGTGGCCACAGTACAGAACGGTCGCTAGCCAAAATAGCACGCTTTCTCGATATTTGGTGATTTCCTAGCTAGGAAGTAGAGATGACCTTATGCAATTAAGTTAGAAATCAATAATGAAAAGAAATCTAGAAAAGCCTTACACCTTTGCACAAGAATAACCGTATTTCTGAGTACTTCCTAAGTCAGAGGAGCGCGGGCAAAGGTCCTGGAATGCATTCTGAAGTGACAGTGGCGGAGATTCTGCCCCGAGACAATTGCGGTAGTGATGTCAGCTTCTCAGGGGTCATTGTGTTGAGATGAAAATGACCGCGCTAGCTTGAGGTAACAGCAAAGTCACGGGAAGGAGAGTGAAGGGGAGAATAATGTAGACACCGAAAGTCAGTGCAACAGAGAGGCATGAGAACTTTAGCTGAAAGGTGTACATGGGTATGAAAATCACCGTCAAAGATTTACACAGATGGGGAAAATATCAGTTTAATGGATTGAAAGACTGGGAAAGCCGAACTGTTGATTCTCCATGAATTGATCTACAGGACAACGGAACACAAGTCTCTGCTGGATGCTTTGGTTTGTCTGTCTGTGTGTGGAGTTCGTCTGACCTATTGATTCAAGGATGTGAGGGGCAGAGGGGCTCCTGGGTGGAGTCTCTTGACTAAGGACAAGTCGGGGTGCATGGCCCCGTGGGAAGACTGTGTCACTAGGTCGCATGGCGGAGTGCAGGTCGTGGAACTACACGGAGAACTGGGAAACAAACCCACGCAGCTCCAAAAAAGGTATGGAAGAGCCAGCCCGATTCCCTTTCCTTCTGGTTTTGAGATGGAACACTGTGAAACGCTGACAATCCATGCAGAAAACCTCTCTTTGGAGCCCTCTCTCCCCTCCTGGAGCAGCTTCCTTCCCAGGGGATTAAAGACTGTGGAAGAGTATTTTGAACAATATTCCTGACATCAGAGTCAAGAGGCTTTCTTCAACAAGATGTGCTAAAGCTCCACACACTGGGAAACCCAGGAGTCCAGTCACAGCCGGACAAATAAATACATCTTACCTAAGAATAGACAAGTATGTAAATTGACCATACCTCCACTACGCCCACAGCCAATCAGAGTGAGTATGCAAATTAACCCAACAATTATGGTGGGTTAATTTGCATATCCAGGTGCAGAGTGGCTGGGAGGGGTGGGATGCCTGCTCTGAGGGGAAGGGGGGTGGCGGAGGGCGCTACAGGAGCCTTGCTCCCGACAGAAGTGAGGACTTGTTGGCTCCTTGGCAGCTGGGAGTGAAGCCAGAGGAAGGCAGGCCTTATTCTTGCATGAATATCGTGCAATAGGCCTCTAGTTGTAGTATAATCAGACAAAAATTCAGCCCTACAGTGAAGAATGAGGAGCCTTTGGAATATGTTGAACACCTAGACACTATGATCTCATTTATGGGAGTTCAAACATATATCAAAATGGAATATTGTTTAGGGGTATCATTTTGTGTGAAACTTGTAGTGCAAACATGTAGTGAAAAACAAGCAAAATAAAATGCAGGGGAGTGACGATATCTCCTGGAATGAGGGGGGGACAGCAGAGAGGTTGTGGCAAGATTATGGTTTTTGGGTAAGGCGTGGCTGCTGAAAGAGTGTTCGTGGTATCACTTTCCTTCTCGTTATCACTTACGCTTGCTTTACAAAGGGCCCTTTTGTGTACATGAACTGGATAAGCACACAGGTTGCCGATTTGTCGGAATTAGCATTACTGAGCTGGTGGGTGAAACTTGGTAGCATAGTCATGGGCAGAGCAGTGACACATAAACTTGGAAATGACCTTGGGAGTTTGGGTTTGAAGTGACACTCAGTCGCAAGCGTTAATGAATTCTGGATCAGAAATTATCGCCATGGAAATTGTGGTTGAGGATGATAAAACTAGATGGATCCTCTATCTATCCATCTATTTTCCATCTATCTGCCCACCTATCATTCATCTGAAATCAGTTAGCAGAAATAAGATGAGAAAGAGAGAGGCAGAGAGAGGTTATTAAAAATCCCTTTAGAAGACACGGCATTGGCTGGTCCCTACCCTGAATTCTGATGGTTGCTATGGAAACACAAAGGCAAAAGCAGCAGCTAGACCTGGTGCAGAAAGAGAAAGGGCGCATTCTCGCCCGCGATTCTCCATGAAAGGATTCCACAGAAGTGCTCTCTGGCTCTCGAAGCTGCCGGAGCCCAGATCTGAACAATGTGGGGACATTTTGGCCAGAACCCTCTGGCAGGGTCGTGAAGAGCCGCGGTCGGAGCTGAGCTGAGTGGTGGGTAATTGCTTTGCATTTCTGCTGCTCAGAAGAGGGAAAAACAAATTAGTTTCTGATGCATCTTGTTCCGTCTCCTCTGAAATGACTTCATCACCTGTCTGCGTCCTGTGATCGTTGGTGTTTTGAAGAGGACCCCAGGCCCAGCTCCCAGGGGATTCCAACATCAGAGACCAGGCGGGGCTTTCCACTCCTTCATCCCTGAGTCTGTCCCTAAGCGGCAGAGATTGGGTTCCTTTGATAGTAACGGGGTCATTGTGACTCGAGTGTTATCACGTATCTCTCTCATGTTTTAAAGTTTTCATCCATCCCCTCCAAGGCCTTAGCCAGCTAAGTTCCAACGCGAGCACATTAGCCGGAAATCCCATTGTTGTCCCTACAACTGGAAACCTTTCTACACAGTGATTCTGGCCCCTTCCCGCCTTCTCTGGGGAAGTTAACCCCAAATAGTCACAGACATCACAGAAGCTCATGAGGGAGGAGAGAGCCTCCTGCCCCGTGGCCTGTGTGTCTGCCCTCATGATGGGGTGGACATTGCAGGGGGATGGGGAGAGCACCCCTGAGCGAGACCCACTACATGTCTGGTGATTTTTGTTGTTGTCAATCCTCACCCAAGGATATTATTTTTCCATTGAAAATTTTTTTAGAGAGAGTGGAAGGAAGAAGGACAGAGAGAAACATCGATGTGAGAGAAACACATTGATTGGTTGCCCCATGCATTCCATGACCAGGGCCCAGGCCGGGGAGGAGCCTGCAACTTAAGGAACATGCCCTTGACTGGAATCGAACCCGGGATCCTTTGGATCCTTAGGCCGATGCTCTGTCTACTAAGCCAGACCTTTAAGTGCCAGCTCTGTTTTATATTTTTAATTATATTTTATTGATTTTGTACAGAGAGGAAGGGAGGGAGATAGAGAGTTAGAAACATTGATGAGAGAGAGTCATCAATCAGCTGCCTCCTGCACACCCCCTACTGGGGATATGCCCGCAACCAAGGTACATGCCCTTGACCGAAATCGAACCCGGGACCCTTCCGTCCCCAAGCCGACGCTCTATCCATTGAGCCAAACCGGTCTCAGCAGTCAGCACTGTTTTAATGTACTATGTGGAGCGGTTTCTTTACACTCTGACCACACCAATGGGTGAGGGGTCGGTGCGGTGCCATTTTATGAACAGGAGCACATTAAGGTGCTGGTAGGGCTGGGTGTCCTGCGGCTCTCGGCTCTGGGGTTGGGGGTTCCAAGCCTTTGTCCAGGGAGCATCCCGGGTCAGGGCCAGACTCTCCGAGGCCGCAGGAATGAGGCTGTTCGGCGTGATGACAGACGGTTCCGCTGGAATGAGCCGGCAAGCCGGAGCCCAGGAGAAAAACGAGTGTTTATACGTGCGCTCCAGACAGTGTTGCCTGTGTCCCAACTCGGCCTGGCTGATGCCTGTCACCAGAGAAACACAACCAGCCCATGTCCCCGGGGAGGGTTACTTTTACATGGAGGAGCCACGCCTTCCTCGGGATAAAGCCGACGTCCTGCCCGCTGATGGGTTCTGGTAACGAAGTTCCTCTGCGCAGGCGGCAGCCGGCATCACCCTCCTGAAACTGCTTCAAAGTGAAACAGTCAGACCTAAACAATAACCCCAAACCACCAACAAAGGAATGTCCTTTGTCATACCGATTGTCAGACCTTACATTATCCCTCATGCAAATAGTCCCCCTTCCCTCCAGATACTGATGTCACCTTTGGCCAGAAGCTGTCCCGGAGACTTCTGCCCCGGAATAAAAGGTTTGGTGGGCTTGCACTTTTCATTTCTCTTTGTGTTTTATGATCGGTGCCTTGGAAGCTAGTTGAATCGCACTATTGACATCTCCAAAATTGGAGCACTATAACCGAGGTTTGATTAACGCAGGGTCCCTGGCTGTGCACTCTGAGGGAGTGGTCAGGTGTCTGAGTGCTCTGAGGGGATTCTGTAATGAGGGCTTTCTGTATCTTATTAGTCTGCTTTGCAGTGGGCGTCTCCTGAGCAGTGAGCATTCCGCTGGGTCTGTGGCCTCTGTGTGTTACAGTCAGAACTGCTGGCTGTTTGCATTTCTGGACCTGGATTTCCCTCCCTCGGCCGCCCCTTGTGTCTGAGGATAAGCAGATCCCATGACTCCCCGGTGACCCTGTGACCTTCAGCGCCACGCACGCTGGGCATCAGCCTGGGAACACTGAGCGAGGGGCGGGGATGTGGAGCTCAGGGAGGGACAGTCTGGAAGTCAAGAGCTGGCCTCAGAGAGCTGGACTTCCTGCCCAGGGACCCGCTGGCACCTGCTCAGCCAGAGCTGCCGCCCACAGGTAGGTGGCGCTGTTACTCCCCGCAGCGCCTGAGCCTGGGGGTGACTGAGCGGGCTTCTGCCTTTGACCTGTGATGGGGATGGAGTGCTACCGGGAGCAGAAGCAGGATCCCCGGTGGCTGCCATTCCAGGTGCCTGCCCAGGCTGCGGGGAGACAAGTGCTGGAATGAGGCAACCGGGAAGGAACCCGCCTTCCCAAGTGGCCAAGGCCAAGGAGTAGGACCTGCCCCCTGAGGCGCGCTGGGGAAGGTCCTGGCTGTGAGACAGAAGCGGTTCAGGCAGCTGGTATTACTTGTGTCGCTGGAAGTTCACATTAACAATGTCTGGAAATGGCTTTTTATTCCAGATGTTCCGAAATTCCCCAAAGAGAAGATCGAGCCCCTGGAAGTGGAGGAAGGAGACCCCCTGGTCCTGCCCTGCAACCCGCCCATGGGGCTGCCCCCGTTGCACATCTACTGGATGAACATCGGTGAGTGAGTCCGGCCAGCCCATGCATGTCAGTGACACCCTGGAGCCGAAGATCAAAACAATAATAGCAGGTTACCGCTGTGGAGTCAAACACAATGAGAGACTATCGCCTAGAGTTTGCTCCAAGTTTTAAGCACACACTTAGGGGTGTCCGTGAAAACACCAGAAAACCGCCAAACAGATCCCCTGTCACATCTGAAGAGCATGCAGGCCAGTGACAGGAGGAGGGGCGTCTGTGAGGAAGGTCCTCCCTGTGTCCACAGCCTGCCTACCTCTGACAGCCCCACCCACTCACCTCTGACAGCTCCACCCACTCACCTGTGACAGCTCCACCCACTCACCTCTGACAGCTCCACCCACTCACCTGTGACAGCTCCACCCACTCAGCTCTGACAGCTCCACCCACTCAGCTCTGACAGCTCCACCCACTCACCTGTGACAGCTCCACCCACTCAGCTCTGACAGCTCCACCCACTCGCCTTTGACAGCTCCACCCACTCACCTCTGACAGCTCCACCCACTCACCTGTGATAGCTCCACCCACTCGGCTCTGACAGCTCCACCCACTCACCTGTGACAGCTCCACCCACTCATCTTTGGGACAGCACCCACCACTCACCCTTGACAGCACCCATGTCAGAGCAGAACTGGTGTCTGCTGTGAGCATTATATTTCTGTTGTTAAAAAATTATTTTTATTAATTTCAGAGAAGAAGGGGGAAAGAGAAGAAAAAAAAAACACCAACCAATAAAAACATCAATGATGAGAGAGAATCATCGATTAGCTGCCTCCTGCATGTCCCCTTCTGGGAATTGAGCCCACAACCTGGGCATGTGCCCTGACAGGGAATGGAAATGTGACCTCCTGGTTCCTAGGTCACTGCTCAACCACTGAGCCTCGCCGGACAGTGTTATATTTCTGGTTTAGTAATGTCTCCCCTGCCACATGCAGTGAAATAATGGAAAAGCAAGACGCTGAGAAAGGAGAAGAGAGATGAGGTTATTTATTTATAATCCTCCCCTGATACAGGATTTTATTGATTTTAGAGAAAGAGAGAGAGAGAGAGAGAGAGAGAGAGAGAGAGAGAGAGAGAGAGAGAGAGAGATCCACGTGAGAGTGAAATATCAATTGGTTGCCTCCCACATGCGCCCTGATCAGGAATCGAACTAGTCACCTGGGCATATGTCCTGAACTGCAATCAAACCTGCAGCCTTTCAGTGCACGGGCTGATGCTCCAGCCCACTAAGCCACACCGGGCTGGGCAGGACTGTTGCCCCTTTAAGGACACATTCCTTTCCAGAACTGCAGCACATCCAGCAAAGCGAGAGGGTGTCCATGAGCCAGGCGGGGGACCTGTACTTTGCGAACGTGGAGGAGCACGACAGCCGGAACGACTACTGCTGCTTCGCGGCCTTCCCCAGGCTGAGGACCATCGTGCAGAAAATGCCCATGAAGCTGACCGTCAACAGCTGTAAGTCCAGACGACGTGCCCTCCGTCAGGAACGCTGCACACAGACGTGACTGTGATCTCATTCCGGCTGATGCCAGCGAGAGCCGGGTTGTTTAGTTCGACTCCAGGGAGGCCCCTGACAGGAGACACCTGCCCCTGCAGTTGCCCGGCTCTGTCTCTGAACAGTGAGCCAGCACACAGGACATCCCGGGGTTTCCCAAGCACGGCTCGGGCTTTGATTCCCAGGATAAGCCAGCGGGCTGGAAAGATGGGAGAGCCCTGCCCTAACCGGTTTGGCTCAGTGGATAGAGCGTCAGCCTGCAGACTCAAGAGTCCCAGGTTCTATTCCAATCAAGGGCATTACCTTGGTTGTGGGCACATCCCCAGTAAGGGGTGTGTGGGAGGCAGCTGATTGATGTTTCTCTCTCATCGGTGTTTCTAGCTCTCTAACCCTCTCCCTTCCTCTCTGTAAAAAAAAAAAAAAAAAATCAATAAAATATATTTTTTAAAAAAGATGGGAGAGTCCATCAGTCAAAAATAAAAGGGGAGCAATATTACACATTTCTAAAAAAAAATAATATTTTTTAATTTTTTTATTGATTTTAAGAGAAGAAGGGAGAGAGATAGAAACATCAATGGTGAGAGAGAATCACTCATTGCCTGACTCCTATTGGGGATCGAGCCCACAACCCAGGGAGGTGCCCTGACTGGGAATCGAACCTGCAACCTCCTGGTTCAAGGGTTTGAAGCTCAACCACCGAACCACACCGGCCAGGCGCCATTACAGTTTATTGCATAACTTTTTCTGTCTTTCCGAAATGGACAAGGTTGTCTGAATTGCTTCTGTCTCTGCCTCGAGTCCGGGTGCCACAGGGAAGGCATCACGAGGGAAGAGAGACCCGTAGGCTCCCAGGGAGCACCATGGGCTCTGCTGGCATCGGGTGGGCATGGCCGTCCCATTGTCTCATTTGGTTGGTGACTTTCTCCATCATTATGTGTGCTGCATGGTGCCTGGGCTCCGCCACCGCCTCCTTGGCAGCCTCTGCTCTCCTCCTCAGAGCTGCCACTTGTGTCTGCCCACCTAGGTTCGCCTGTGCTAGTTCAAGGTTAAGCTCCCCATGCATGTTCCTCCCACTGTTTCCCTAAAGATGGGCTCTGGTGAAGCGTGCCAGGCCTCACGCTATGGTTCTTCTCAGGAGGAAATGTGGCTCTTCATTCTCTGTTGGCATCCGCACCCACCGCTGTGTTTGTGAGTCTCATCTTCCATTCTTTCATTTCAGTAAAGCATGCTAACGACTCGCGTTCATCCTCAGAAACCGGTCCTCGGGGTAAGTCGGTCATGCGTAGCGTGTTGGCAGTTATTCTCAGCGTCGTAGCTCGTTGCCATCTCACAATTGCAATTTTTCCTCTGGTACCTTTGTGAGTTTACTAAAATACTAATATTCACGTTAAGGAAGACCCCTTAACATAGAGGTGTCTATTCTCCCCCCCCTTAAATATAGTAGGGGTGAGTGAATTAAATGTTAATTTTTAAGATTATGATTTTTAAGATAAATAAGCAGGCTAATTTTTAAGTTGATAATTTTGTGTGGCCTACTAATCCTATATAATAAAACCCTAATATGCAAATCAACTGAATGGCTGAATGGTTGCTGTAATGCGCACTGACCACCAGGGGGCAGACACTCAATGAAGGAGCTGCCCCCTGGTGGTCAGTGTGCCCTCACAGGGGGAGCCCCACTCAGCCAGAAGCCAGGCTCACAGCTGGTGAGCGCAGTGGCGGTGGTAGCAGTCTCTCCCGCCTCAGCAGCAGCGCTAAGTCCCCCCCTTAGATGTCTGCCTCCTGGCTATCGGGCCTAAGCCAGCAGACAGACATCCTCCGAGGGCTCTTGGACTATGAGAGGGTGCAGGCCAGGCTGAGGGACCCCTCGCGACCCCCAGTGCATAAATGTTGTGCACTGGGCTTGTAGAGATATTATAAATATCCAAAGGCCTTTGGCTCCTCGCCCTGGTTTATATGAAAAACACAGACACAGAGACACACACAGTTATTGAATGGGGCCAATCACGACTCATGTGTAGACCACAGAATCAGACGTCGGGGATCTGAAGGGCTTCCGTCAGGAAATGAGCTCTCTGCTGTGTTTGAATCCTGGACATCAGGCGTAGCAAGGACAGACTTCCTGTTCCGCCTGCGTCACTCACCTTGCTCCCGGGGGTGGGGGGAGGTGTGCCGGACCACGTGCAGGAGGGCGTCTCCGTGGGGACACACCTAGATGCGGGAGGTGTGTCTGTGTCTGTCCACACGCTCACACCCACAGAGGCTTCTGTCTTGAGAACGGTCTAGAGCCACAGGACAGCCGCTCTCTGAGCCCATGAGAAACAGGGGACTGTTCTCCTTCCAGCAAATTCCATCAAGCAGAGGAAGCCCAGCCTGCTGCTGCCTCCGGCCGCGAAGGGCCCCAAGTCCGAGGTCACCGTCCTCCGGGGGGACACGCTGGTGCTGGAGTGCTTCGCCGAAGGCCTGTGAGTACCTGCCCCGTCTGACCGTCCGCTGTGTCAGGGATGCCATGCCCATGAGGAGCCCCTGCACACCCATTCCCAACCATCGCCTTTTTAAAGAGCGTGAGTGCGCACATGTCTGGAGGGAGTGATGGTCACTCCACCTGGGGTTGGCCCTGGGGTTGACCCGTAAGCCCTCCCGCTGTCGGTGTGGGAGTGAGGACGGGTGATGGTGACAGGAGCCCCCTGTGCTCAATCAGCGGGTGCCACCCCAAGGCTGGAGCCGGCGGCCTCGGAGGCGGGGGCAGGTCCTGGTCCTGGGCTGGCCCCGTCCCTCCAGCTCCTCATTAGGTTCCCGGTCAGGTTCCCAGGACCCCATCTGCCTCTCCTGCCCCCCGTTTCCCATGTCAGGCGGGGGGCCTGTCCACAGAAGCTAAGACAGCTTCACGTGAGCCTAGAATTCCCTGGACTTCATCTGGAAAAAAGACAAAAACCCAAAACACACGTTTCCAAACCCCCCAGGAAAGCACGGGGTCCTTCACTCGTCACATCTTTTGTTTAATTCACTCTGGGGTGCCATCTGGGTTCATTGGATCGCACAGGTTTCCAGTCCATGATACGTGACCTGTATGTAGCGTTGCGTGTCCACCGCCCAAAGGCAAATCAGGTTCCACCGTCACCCACATTTGGAATTACTGCGTTTACTGAGTGACCTTCATCAGTCCTTGTGAACAAGCCCGTCTTCTCTAACACGTGGTCAGGCAGGTGGCCTTTCCCCGGTCTCCGTCTGTCTGTCTGTGCTGCCCGCCTCTGTCAGCCCAGCACCCGAGTTCCTTCCTCATCTGCGAGTTGAGGTCCCCCACTTGCCCCCCATCTTTGGACAGTGGTCAGTGGGGCAGGACATGGAGTTTGGAAGCCATGGTCACCCAGAGCTCAGTGCACTTCCCCAGTGAGTGGCTTTCCATCAGACTCCAGGGGCAAGTTTCCGCGGAGGGACAGCCCTAAGCTTGGTAAATGCCACTTTCCATCGGGCCCACAACGCCAGGTCACTCGTCTGTCCTAAACCGCCCAAGGGTGTGAGGCACGTGACTCCCAGGTGCCCTGGCCCGGCCCGTTCCGGAAGCTGGTCTCTGTTGTGTGAGAAGGTAGGTGTGCCGGGCCACTGGGAACCGTGGGGGAACCACCGCCCTGTGGTTTGACCCTCAGGAGCTGGTAGTGGGAGAGGTCACCTTCTTTCAGGACTTGTCACCGTGCCCATTGGCCCTTTGGGCCCAGCCACGTTTCAGCAGCCCTTCCTCCCTATGTCCTACAAGGCCATAGTCTTCCTCCTGGGGGGCTGGTGTGCGTGGCTTTTTTCACAATCACGGAAACGCTGCCCCGTGCTGTGGAGAACATGCAGCCCCGGGAGGGATCGGCAGGAAGGACAGAAACGTGTCGTCCCGGGACCCGGGGCCTTGGTGCCTTGACTTCCCTGGCACGGCCCTGCCTCCTGGTTCTGGGGGGTGCCTGGACCGTCGGGACACGCTGTGGGGATTGTAGAGAGCTGCACAGTCACCTCCCCCGGGAGCTTTAAACCACACCATCTGCAGTCAGCAATCATTTCTGGACACCCATCTGGTCTCTTGTGTCTCGCACACCACGTGTCGGCTGCATTTCTCCACGTCCCCGGTGCAGGGGAGGGGGGGCAGGGGAAGGGAGCCCTGAGACCTGGAGTCCCCTCTCCTGTCTGTCTCCAGAATCAGAGCCACCTCGATGTTTAATTCCTTTTCCACCCAAGGAGCTGCTCCACGCAGTCAAGGGATGGGTTGTCTCTGAATCGGAGGACACGTAGGAGAAGTTCCCACCTGTGGGTAGCAATCATGAACAGGAAATTCAGCAGGGACACTGGTGCCCAACCTGACCTTTCACCTTCTCATAGAATAAGGAAGTTAAACAATGTCCCCTCAAGAGTATACGCTCTTGGGAGTTACATCCCCAGTGGGTTAAATCTGAAAAGGAAGAGTCAGCGGTTGAGCTATCCGCTGTTACGTGCGTGTACGTTTTTTTTGTGTGTTTTTTTTTGGGGGGGGGGTACACCCTGTGTTTTCCTTCAGCTCTTCCTTGCTCAAACGCTGTCAGTACATCTTCCTTCAATTAACTAGAAAAGAGCAAGAAAACCATTTGGCGAGGATATAGCTGCCGAGGGCCGGAGGTGTGGCTGCACCCCCGAGGAAGGCTGACTGCACCGTCATGGCCTGACACCCCCACGCCTCTCCCTGTCTTCCAGGATGGGGTGTGGAGGATCAGACTAATCTCCAGGATGGGCAGAAAGGGAGGGCTGGCACTGCCAAAGCCTGGGCTTGTGAGGGCTCTGGGCGGGGGGCGGCGCTGCGGTCCAAGCAGCCTGTGACTTGGCAGGTCTCCACGTTGACAGATGGGGTGGGAAACAGCCATTCGGAGACTCGGGCGAAGCACCTGTTAGGCCGTGAGCTCCAAGGCCCGCAGCGGATGCACGCGTGCGGCCCCTGTGGGCTGCGTGCTCTCAGCCTGGCCCAAGTCAGCAGGGGCTCAGGTCTGCAGCCAGCCCTTCGGCTGAATCACCTGGGACATTGTCTGCAGTATCTCAGGGCTCCCCTAGGCCGGCTGCTGGTGCTCCTTTATCTCGTGTTCATACTCATACAGGGAAGGGACTGCTATTTCCAGCCACTTCCCGTTGCCCACAGGGAGATCTCACACCTGACCCATCTCTTGCCCCTAGAGGCCCAGTGCATGAAGTTCATGCAAGGGGCTCAGCCCTCACAGCCCCTCATAGCACCAGCTTCGTGTGACGGTCATCTGGAAGGTCATCTGGACAGTCCTTCTGCTGTTTGGTCTAATTCCGTATTAGCTCTTCATTTTATTTTATTTTATTTTTTTATAACATATTTTATTGATTTTTTTATAGAGAGGAAGGGAGAGGGATAGAGAGCTAGAAACATCAATCAGCTGCCTCCTGCACACCCCCAACAGGGGATGTACCCACAACCAAGATACATGCCCTTGACCAGAATCGAACCTGGGACCCTTCAGTCCGCAGGCTGACGCTCTATCTACTGAGCCAAGTCGGTTTTGGCGTATTAGCTCTTTATTGTATAGGATATGAGCAGGTGTCCAGTTGTTTGTCCTTCACCTGCCACACCCACGTCCAGCCCGACCCTGCAGCCAGCCCCGCAGCCAGGAGGGAGGGTCTGAGGAGGAGCCTGTGGAGGAGGTGCTGAGGGCGGAGGCCTGGGCCTGTGCCCACGTTCACCCTGGCGGTGGTGTGGGTGGGTCTGGGCCCTGGGAATGTAGACGGACGTCGCTCGGTGGGACTCTGAGGGCACGCAGGAAAACATCGCGACGAGGGGTGTGTCCTGTGGGGCTCTTCACGTTCCCTGCGACCCATCTAAAGCCACGTATCCCTTACGGACTGTTTTCCAGGCCAACGCCACAGGTCGCCTGGGGAAAAGTGGGCGGCGATTTACCGGAAGGAAGCGACATGGAAGACAATTACGGCAAGACGCTGAAGATAGAGAACGTCTCCTTCCAGGACAAAGGGACTTACCACTGCATGGCCAGCAACTTCCATGGCGTGGCCACGCACGATTTCTACGTCACCGTGGAAGGTATGTGGCCACCCACGCGGTTCACTTCGCTTCCGTCCAGCGGGGACGTGGCGCCCTCCCCCTGCACAGCAGGTGTGCTGCGGCGGGAACGGGCCCACGTGGACTGCGGAGCGGGCTCTGGGTGTCACGTCACCCCCTGGCCTGTCTCTCACCCCGACCACAGGGAGGGGACGGTGACGAAGGATGTCACCGCAGGGATTCAGTCAGAGGCCTCCGGGACTCGCTCACAGAGTCCTCCAGTCTGGCCTCCTGGCCTGGCCCCGTGAGAAAAAACGTTAATGGAGGAATGTGCCTGTGACCCTGCCCGAGGTCGGCTCTCAGAGCCGTGAGCTGAGATGGAAGGAGGGTCAGGGTGACTCCAGGAAAGCGCAGCCGTGTTCCCCGCCCCGTCATTAGCTCGCCGTGTCCGCCACGCGTCCCCTCCGCTTTCTGCTTTCTCCCCGTTGAGATGTGCCAGGCGGACACGCTGCGGTCCCAGCTCTTTCCCGGGCACGTCCTTTCCCTCCGCGCGCAGAGGGTGTTCTCCGGGTCAGTCCTGGGGAACGAGGACCGGGCTCTGTGGCAGAGAGATGAGCTCTCCACCCCAAGGTGCAAGCACACCTGCTCCAGTGAGGCTCTCTCTGCAAGCCCACCCCTTCCGGTCAGCAGCAGGGGGCGCTGTGTGTGGTGGGACAGAACTGTTTAGGCAATGGTGCCATTGTTTAAAAAGGGCGCCCCAAATGCAGGCACGGGGCCTGTGCCTGCTGTGGGGAGGGAGGCTAGGCTGCCTGTCACCTGGGAATCTGATTGGCGCAGGCTTCCTCCCTGGGCGGGACTGCACAGAGGTCACCTGGACGGGGGCAGGGGGCTGTGCTGGCCGAGCCCGTGGGGTGGTCACGGCTTTCACTGCGTCGCACCGTGTGGGCCTCGGGATGAGGGAACCTGTTCTCTCTGGGGCCTCGTTCAGGGACCGGCTTTCCAGGGCTCCCGTTTGTATCCCAACGGAGTTTACCTGTGAAACTCAGTTTGCACAGGGAACCCTAGGTCCAGGCCCTCCCCCAATCCCATTCCAGTTACTGGGGAAAAGGAAGACGGAGACACATGTCACCCCCCCCACACACACACACACACTCAGAGTTAGCACCACCGCTTAGCAGGCCGCTGTCTGGGGGCCCCGTGTTCCCCAGGTCTCTCCCACTGGGTGAGTCACTAGGTGCGGAGGACCCGGGCCCAGGGCTGGGAACATCACATTCTTGTTCGACAGACAGGAGAAGCCATTGCTGTGCACACACAGGACCCCGGGCTGCAACCGGGGCCGCGGATCGTGCGGAGAGGAGGCGTTGGCCAGGTGTCTGTTCCCTGTGGTGGTGGTCCTCCTGGGCATCTGTTTGGCTGGGCTGGGCTGGGCAGCAGGGCTGAGTTCCGGGACCCCGCCTGGGCCCAGCACCAGCACCAGCACCAGCACCAGCACCAGCGCCAGGACCCAGGCCTGCCCGTAGCTGCTGCTGGCCCCCGAGCTGCTGACTCCTGCAAACCCCTCCAGATGGCGGGCTTGGCTGCTGCGGGAGCTGCACATTTTAGCAATCTGGCTGCAGTTTCCAGGCTGGAAGGCGAGCTTTCAAAAGAATTGCAAGGGTTGCAAAAAAGAAAAGAAAAAAAAAAAAAGAAAAAAGAAAAAGAAAGGGAAGTCAAGGGTGTAGAATAAATTATCCCCTTCGCCCAGTGGCTGGAGGACTGGAAGGAATATAGGTTTTCTGCCCAGACTGTCCCGCCATTCATAAGCCAGCCAGGGGCTCCATTGAGATGCTAACCATGTTTTTATTGGGGACACTTAATCCTTTCCCCTTAAGGAGACACCACTAATGCCTTGTTGTGTTTTGGGGGTTGCCCTTCACAAATTCAGGGACCGGGACGAAGGCAGGGACCTCCAGGAGCCCTTCCCGTGGTTAAGGGTGGAAGCCGCATGAATGCAGCCCTCCTTGGGCACAGGGGCGCTGGCCAGCGCGCTTTGCTTTCACGCAGCTTCTCTCTGCCCTCGCCTGCCTCCTTCGCTCCCTCCCTCTGACTTTGGCTTAGAAACTCCAATTAAAGGGCCACAGGGGCCACATGGGGAGGGATGGGCAGCCGTGAACTTTGAAAGCCGAGTCCATCTGAAAGCCCCCTATGCCTCCGTGAAGGCAGGCGCTGTGTGGGGTTCCACCCCCCCCACCCCTCCCCATGTGAGATTCCTCTTTACTCCGGGACACAACAGTCTGAAGATGGGGCAAGCTGCAGGTTCACGTCCTGTGCTCCGCAGAAGCAAAAGCAGCCTGGAAGCTGACTCGGCAAAACCGGTTCCTTCCAGATTTCACCGTGTAAATACTGCACATGTAGCAAAGGAGATGTATCATGTATGCAAGGGAACACAGATAGACATATTAAGATATACACACGTAGTGTTATGTTCTCTATTACATATACCCTGTGTATTATACCAGCCTAAGCAGGGTCCAAACCTGGGAGCATTTTTATGAGTTTGTTTGAGCCAAACGGATGAGAGGCTGGGAAGGGAAATCTCGGCAAGGGGGTGGGAGGGAGCCAGTGCTCCTGAGAAGGGCGTTTTGCACAGCTTGCCCCCATCTTCAGACTGTTGTGGTTCAGTCGCGGAGTGTACTTGTGTCCCAGAGTAAAGAAGGAATCTAACGGAGGGGGGTGGTGGTGACGAGGAACTCCACACGCCTCCACTCCTTCAGCTTCGACAGGGACAGATCTTCAGGCAGACAGCACAAACTCAACAAGAAGAGAAATAGAAATCCCGATTTTATTTCGAGTGAAGATGGAGGGAAACGTCATCGTGACCAAATCTCCTTTATGTCACTGTTTTTACTGTGATACGAATTGACATGTTTTGAGATCTGATTGACATGTTTTGAGATCTGATTGACATGTTTTGAGATCTAATTGACATGAACTCACTGCAAGTGTACGACGTCATGATTGACATTCATGTACACTGTGCTCTGATCGCCCCGGCGACCCCACTGACTTCCAAATCCATGCACAGTTACAGGTTCTTTCTTGTGATGAGAACCTCCCAGGTCTTCTCTCTCAGCAGCTTGCAGACACACTGCTCCGCATACATCACAGCCCCAGCTCCTTCGCTGTGGTGTGCTCTGAGAGCTTCCGGTGAACGATGGGATCATTCTCACATTCACGGAGCTTTAACTCAAGTAGTTCACTCTAATGTAGTTTATGAGAAGACAAGAAAATAATAAAAATACCATAAAACATACACACACACACACACACACACACACACCCCTGCTCCTTAGTGAGTGAGGCGCAGTGTATAATGTGAAGATTGCATTTTAAGCTCCATATTTACAGGTTGTAGATCATGAACATGGATGTTTAACTTGGGGAGTAAGAGTTACATCTCCCTCCTCCCCCAGTGGGACAGACACCAAAGACCTTCTCTTGCTTGCACTTGAACTTGCCAGGGTTACTTGTATGTTTTTGGTTTTCCTCGTAAATCTATAGGCGTTTTCTTTCCACCTGATCACCTTTGCCCTCCCTCGATTTGGAACGTTTTTCATTTTACACAGCCCTGTGCTTTGAAGACCGCCCCTTTTTGACTAAAATGAGAGTTCGGTGGTCTGGGGGAAATACGCAGCGCCTCGCTAAGGGAATGGCGGCCTGCAGGAATGGTGCGGTGTTCTCTGAACCAGATCACCCAAACCACCACACTTCCACCAAAATCGGTGATGTGCTCCTGGCCTAGGGATGTGCTTCAGGTGACAAGCACTGCAGTCTTGTTTGCACTAAAGAAACAGCCTCCTTCCGCCCTGGGCCTCCACTTGGAGTTATAAACTGAAGCCCTCGGCACAGCCAAGTGCAAACAATTGAAGTGTGTCTTATCCTCATTGTTCCAAAGGCAGAAGCTAAGGCTGCTATCCGGCTTCCCTCCCTCTTACAAAAGACTCGGGATGAGTGCTGCCCTAGATAGACGGGTAGGGTAGGCATGGATGTGAAATGCTGCAAAGCCATTCACTCGGAGATACTTACACTAAGTGCAGGACATTTTCTTTCTTCATATCGGCCACGCTCAATTCCCTGCCGCTGCTTGAGAAAAAAAACCCATAAGCACCGTCTGCCTCGTCCACCGTGCTCTGCTGTTGGGATGGATGCTGTGCAGCAAAATATTGAAATAGCCAGTATAGATAACTGTTTTCAGTGTGTGTAATTTATCCGTGCTGACAGTCCAAATGAGAACACACACATGCACACCTAGGCATGCATGCACACAAGCGTGTACAAACCGGAACACAAGCACATGTGCATACATGCATGCACACATGCAGGCATGTGAATACACAAGCACATGTGCACGCACACAGCAAGCACGGGCGCACATGCACCCTGACCTTACAGAACACTCAGCAAACATCCCTGAGCCCTGCTGTGCCTGCCACCTGCTGGTGTGTCTTGGAAGTGCGGGCCTTGGTGTTGGTGGACCCTCTGATGTGGATACATCTCTGAGGAGCCGTGACTTTGTCCCCAGAGCCCCCTTACTGGACGAAGAAGCCCCAGAGTGGCGTATACAGCACAGGGGCCAGTGGCATCCTGCTGTGTGAGGCGAAGGGCGAACCCACGCCCGTCATCCGGTGGCGAGTCAATGGCGTCCCCATAGAGGGTAAGTGCCAACCAGCGGTGACGGGGGCGGAAGGCCACGGAAAGCCATGGAAGGCCGCACACGGAGGGCCACACCCACCAGCGTGGCTCAGTGGTTGACATTGACCTGTGAACCAGGAGGTTGCTTTTTGATTTCCAATCAGGGCTCATGCCTGGGTGTGAGCTCCATCAACAGGAGGGGGGGCCTGCAGGAGGCAGCCCATCCATGATTCTCTCTCACCATGGATGTTTCTGTCTGTCTCTCCCTCTCCCTTCCTCTCTGGGATCAATGAAAATCATATTTTAAAGAAAAGCAAGGAGGGCAGGAAGGGAGACAGAGGGAAGGTGTAGGGCCAGTGTTGGAGGGTTGGCGCCAGGTGGGTGAATGTGGGAATCACGCTGGGCAGGATCAGGACCTGAGTTTATAAGAGAAGTGATGCCCAGGGCATATTGGACCGGCCCACTGCTGGGAAGCTGGGCGTGTCACCCTCGGGTGTGGCTGTGGAGAGGGAGGAGCCTGAGGCAGTCGCCATTTTGGCAAATACCAAACTGGAGGGTTCTGGGGTTGCAACTCACGGCTGAAGGTGGGAAAGTCTAAAGGATTATGTGCCGTGAACCATCATTCACCCTCCACGGCTCTTCAAATAGACATGCCGTGTGTCATGCGTGATGGAGGGCGCATGAATCTTTCAGGCCCCGCGTTCCTCACCCGGGCTCTCCAATCTCCTGCAGAAAATCCATTTGCCGGCGACGTGGTCTCCCCCGGAGAGGTCAGCTTCACCAACCTGCAGCCCAACCACACGGCCGTGTACCAGTGCGAGGCCTCCAACGCGCACGGCACCATCCTGGCCAACGCCAACGTCGACGTGGTCGGTGAGCGTCCCCCCGCCTCCCCCCTCCCCCCTGCCCTCGAGAAGGCCCTTCCTCAGCGTGGTCCAGCGCGCAGCGGTCAAGGCCACGCACACCAGCACGTTGAATCCTTCGCGTATAAAACACGGGTGGGCAGAGCCCTTCCGTCTGACATGTGGGCGTCAGACTTTCTACTGAGATTATACTCGCACATAGCAGCACAATTTACAGTAGCCAAGGTCTGCACGTGTGTATTTTGGATACTCTCCTGACTCAAGAACGGGCTAATATTCTGCTCTGTTCCATTCTCATGACATTCCCATGGCTGTATAAAGAGCATTGAGTTGGCACATGTTCTTTCTTTCTTTTTAAATTTTATCATGGTTGAGCGTATGACAGGTGTCTCCCCTGTTCCCCCCAAATTTGAATGACAACGAGGTACCCCCTCACACCTGCCGGAGTGGCTACCATCAGTACATCAACCCACAAGTGCTGGTGAGGATGTGGAGGCGAGGGAACCCTGGTGCACAGCTGGTGGGAATGCAGGCTGGCGCGGCCACTGTGGGAGACAGTGCGGAGTCTCCTCCAAAAATTAAACACCCACTGCCATCGGCCCCAGCAGTCCCGCTTTTGAAAATGTATCCTCAGAATCCTGAAATAATGATTCCAAAGAATGCGTGCACCCCTACCTACGTGCACAGCGGCACAATTTACGGTAGCCGAGGCCTGCACGTAAACGGTCCCTTGTCTCTTGGACTCACGTTTAAAAGTGTTCCCGTGGTTTTCGAACAGATGTCCGCCCGCTGATAGAAACCGAGGACGAGGAGAGCTATGCCGCGGTGACGGGGGCCAGCGCCTTCCTGCGCTGCAAGTTCTTCGCCTCGCCCCCCGCCCTGGTGTCCTGGTAGGTGCCGGTCCCTGAGAGAAGGTCAGCTGTGGGTCCGTCTTTGTTTCCTTCTCTGTCATGTGACAGGCACCTGTTTCCGCGTAGCCACAGGCCCCAGGGGAGACGTGGAAGCACCCTAATTGCTACCCTCCCCGGGGGGCCCGGACCAGCCCCGGGGTTTGCTCATTCGGGGAGATTGGGGGAAAGCAAAGGATCGGGGTGATGATGAAAATGAACTTGGGGTGTGTCTCCCACCGGGTGCCTCTGAGAGCCTGTGTCCTGAATTACTGCTGTTTGAGGTCATGGCTAGAGAATGACGGAGCCTGCATTCAACTTCTCCAACGTGGGTTTGCATGTAAGGTCCCTCTGTGGGGCTGGCGTCATGAGTCCAGCCATGTTGTTACATGGAGCCACATGTGTGAGGCCTCACTGGCCACACACGGTGTCTCAGGGGCTGAGACGAGAGCGGGTGGAGCAGGGCCGGCCCAGTGTGGGCCAGAGCCTAAAATGCGGGGATGTTGTTCATTGCAGATTTTTAGCGTGTTGTCTTTGATCTTTAAAAATACTCCATTGACATATTACTGATCTTGAACACTGAGATGTGGGGCTTCCCTGGCCTGACCCAGGCCCCAGCCCTTGCAATCCGGTGGAGACAGCAATGTATCCTGGGAAATTTCAGCCCTCAGCCTGCTGCTTGGAAGTGTGCGGGCTGGACGATGGTGCATGTAGGGAAATGACTCGGGTTTGCAGGGTACACAGAGCCCAGGCCCACAGGACAGGAAGGACCCCTGGGCCTGTGACGTTTCCACTGACCAGTGTCCCCAACACAGCAGGGGCTGTGGAGGGTCATGGGCCCTCAATCCCCAGTCTCCCATCCAGGGCCCTGCAGTAATGGTCCCCTAAGGGGCTCACCATCTGACAGGGGTCCTCAAACTTTTTAAAGTGCAGGCCAGATCACGGTCCCTCAGAGAGCTGGAGGGCCGGACTATATGAACTACTAATTCCTACTGTAACACCTCGGCTGCGCTCACTGCCCAAAAAACCTGGCGGACCAGATCAGACTCCTCTGCGGGCCGCATGTGGCCCGCAGGCCATAGTTTGAAGACGCCTGAAAGCCAGAGAACATTCATTCAGCACCAGGGACAGCTGCAGGGCGGCATGACAGCAGAGAAATACAGGGCCCCTCCCTGCAGATGTGCTTCAGACCTGTGGACCGGGACATTGGTTGGGGCACATGCCTAGGTTATGGGCTGGATCGTCAGTGTGGGGCATGCAGGAGGCAGCTGATCCATGATTCTCTCTCATCATTGGTGTTTGTCTCTCTCTCCTTCTCCCTCACTCTTTTAAAAATATATATATATTTTATTAATTTTTGTTTTGTTACAGAGAGGATGGGAGAGGGATAGAGTTAGAAACATCAACGAGAGAGAAACTTTGATCAGCTGCCTGTTGCACACCTATTGGGGCTGTGCCTGCAACCAAGGTACATGCCCTTGACTGGAATTGAACCTGGGACCCTTCAGTCTGCAGGCTGATGCTCTAACTTAGGGGTGTCGAACTCAATCAGAGAAGGGGCCAAAATCTAAAATCCAACCTAAATCGCGGGCCGAATGGTTTACTGAACAGTCATAAACTGTCATTGTGATGGAAATGCAGCGGAGTGCAGTGATGACAGCGCGGTGCGGGCCACATTGCAAGGCCTGGCGGGACGAATTTGGCCCGCGGGCCTTGTGTTTGACACATGTGCTCTAACTACTGAGCAAACCAGTTAGGGCTCCCTCACTCATTTTATAAAAATCAATAAAAACATATTTTTTAAAAATACAGCGAAAGCGTGGGGCCCGGACCAAGCTCCCCTGGGCACCATCGATGGGGCAGATATGACAGTCAGTCACCCGCTGGGGGGGGAGGGGGGATGTGAGCCCCAGGGAACACTGCGTGAGGCCAGCCAGGCTCCCGCGGAATGGACAGCTCACACGACCTCTGCTAGTGCCCGGTTCGCACAGCCCCTGCTGACCCCCGCCCTCTGTCCACAGGCAGAAGGCAGACGCAGCCAGGCCTCTGGAAGGCCCCCGGTACCACGTCCACGAGAACGGGACCCTGCAGGTCCTCGAGGCCACGGCGGAGGACGCGGGCGCCTACTCCTGCTGGGTGGAGAACGCGCAGGGGAAGACCGCCGTCACGGCCAGTCTGGACATCCGCAGTGAGTCCGCCCTGTTTCCGCCTGGCGTGAGTTCTTACGTGGTCCCGTCGGTCTCCGTTTTCCCGAATGAGATGGGATTTAAGCAACACCGGCAGGGCAAGAGATTGAGTCTTTTAAAAAAATAACAATAGAAATAAAAACATCGAGGCCTTTGTTTGCTCTCACTCCTTGCTCGCTGAGCTCAGGACGCAGGGAAATGGCTGATTGGTCACCCCTCCCATGTGAACTGCGTCAGTTGTCCAGCCCGGATGGAAGGAGTGGGCACTGCCTGTGCTGCTGGGATATAGCCGCAGGCTCTGCAGGAGGACCCGCCATCCCACCAGCGCTGTGGCTGATGGAGTGGCAGGCCCGGGGGATGGGACAGGTGTGTCCTGCCGTCCTAACCCCTGTGTTCTTTCCTTCTGGGCCACAGATGCCACGAAGCTCCAGGTCTCTCCCAGGGACCCCCGCATCCCCCGGTCACACACGCTGGAGCTGCACTGTGAGAGCCAGTGTGACCCGCAGCTGAAGCCCAGTCTGAGGCTGACCTGGAGCAAAGGGGGCGCCGCCTTCGAGACCAACGGCACCGGGGACGGCAGGTGGGCGAGCGGCGGCGGCCGGCGCAGGGGTGAAAGGTCAACACTGGATCTGTACCCGGACAACCAGAGGGTCCAGGCTGCCTGTCACTGCTTGAGCCAATTCAGCAGAGGCAGGGTTGAACCATTTTGAGCGTTTATTCCAATCCTGCCGGAGAGGCGTGGGAAATACACATGTGTGCCTCCATCCTGTGTACAGAGGGACAGAAAAAATGCAGATGAGTTCAACTGATGTAGCTCAGTGGTTGAACCAGGAGGTCACGGTTCGATTTCCGGTCAGGGCACATGCCCGGGTTGTGGGCTTGATCCCCAGTAGGGGGCGTGCAGGAGGCAGTTGATGGATGTTTCTCTTTCATCAGTTTCTCTCTTATTGATGTTTCTCTCTCCATCTGCCTTCCTCTGACTCTCTAAAAGAAATCAATAACAAAAACATACTAAAGAAAAGCAAAGAACATAAAACCCCCAATTATAGCAGTTTCTCTCCCCACAGGACAACATTTATATCAACTAAAGAGCAAACTGCTGTGAACATATTTCAGATGTAATGAAATTTTATTTTTTAAGAAACACTTGAATACTTACGTACAAAGCTATGGTAAAAGTTGTATTCATCTTAATAATTTTTTTGTGTAGTGATCTGATTACAAAGTGGCAAAAGTGGAAGGAATGATAAAAGCCATGGACAGAGGATGTAGGACTAGAAGGGCTGGTCTGCCCCCTGCTGGTCAGATGAATCCCACAGTTTAGCTGCTGCGGGACTCTAGGTGGCAGCCTGCTCAGGGGTGGAGGGTGGGGAGATGGAAAACGGAAGGGATTAGAAACAGATTATCTGAGTCCACCGGGATGGGGGTAGGGACGGGAAGGTAGGGAGGGGGGACAGGGTGTGTGTGTGTGTGTGGTCCGGGGCAGCCACAGCAGCTCCTTTGATAGAAGGGCCCAGCTGATTCTGCGTGGAGCTCCCTAACATACACCGGATGAGGATTGCCCAGACGTGTGGCAGCCGTGAGACAGGCTGGACTCGCCAGGCACAGCCAGCGGCACCGGTCCACATGGAGCCACTGCCCTGCGCGTGGCTGGGCTTGGCCACTGAACACAGAAGAGAACACAGTGAAACCGCTCCCTTTGTGCCGGTGGACCTGTGTGTGCCTGAGCGATGCTTTTCACATCCAGTTTCCAACCGCATGTGCATTGCATGACGTGGGCTTGGTTTTCTTTACTCTTCCTCGAATGGTGTTCAGTGGGGAGTACGTGTTGTTGTTTTTTAGATACTTTTTTAAAATTTTATTTTAGAGGGAAAGGAAAGAGAGGGAGAGAGAGAGAGAGAGAAACCTCAATGATGAGAGAGAATCATGGATCAGCTGCCTCCTGCACACCCCTTCTGGGGATCAAGCCGAAACCCGGGCATGTGCCCTGACAAGGGACTCAAACCGTGACCTCCTGGTTCGTGGGTTGACGCTCAACCCCTGGGCCATGCCGTCAGGGCCGGAATACGTGTTTTTGAAAGGATTGTGATTGTCATTCCTGGCCTTTTCCTCCTCACCCTGCGCTCGCTGCTCCCTCCCGGCAGGATACTGATCGACGGAGCCCGCCTGACCATCTCCAACCTCAGCCTGGAGGACCAAGGCGTCTACACCTGCTCGGCTCACACAGCCCTCGACAGCGCTGCCAACGGGACTCGCGTGACCGTGCTGGGTGAGCGGGCTCGCGGTGGGGCCTCCTCCGTTACCGTGACGTTCAGCCAGGGGTTACTCGGGCCCTGCACTTAGGTTGTTAGTTGGGATATTTTCAATTACGCAGTGGCCCAGTTTCAAATACTTTCTCCTAGTCTTCCCCTAAAGACATTCATTGGTGCTTCATTCCTTCTCCTCCAAGCGTACTCTTCCCAGGCACAGTGCGGGGGGCGGGTACAGATGATGCTGTTGGGATGCTGGGGGGGGAGGGTGGTGATCAGCAAAGGCCTCAGCCTGAGACAGGGACCTGGAGGGGATGTGGCCCAGAGAGGAGGGAGGCTGGCCAGGCGCCTGGGTGAAGGGTCCGCAAGCCAGGCTCCCTGCTCTCTCCTCACCTCTACCTTTTGTTTTCCACCAGACGTTCCGGATCCCCCCGAAAACCTCCGCTTGTCGGAACGCCAGAACAGGAGCGTGCGGCTGACGTGGGACGCCGGGGACAGCCACAACAGCAACATCAGCGGTAAGGACGGCAGGGGAACCCTGCTCCTTGGCCCCTCCCCCCTCCCCCTTCCTCCCGACAGAACGTACCGCAAAGCCACGTCTGACCACGGCGGGCGGATCCTCCTTTATTTATTTATTTTTTAAAAATATCTGTTATTGATTTTTTTTATTTATTTTTTTACAGAGAGGAAGGGAGAGGGATAGAGAGCTAGAAACATCAATGAGAGAGAAACATCGACCAGCTGCCTCCTGCACACTCCCTACCGGGGATGTGCCCACAGCCAATGTACATGCCCTTGACTGGAATCGAACCTGGGACCTTTCAGTCTGCAGAATGAGGCTCTATCCACTGAGCCAAGGGTTCCCCTTTAAAACCTTCGCTGCCTTGGCTGCTGGGTGTGGGTCTCCCTCTAGCTCACCCCCGCTCCCTTGCTGTTTCCCCAGAGTACCTGGTGGAGTTCGAGGGCAGCAGGGAGGAGCAGGGCCGGTGGGAGGCACTGGCGACCGTCCCCGGGGAGGAGACCACGGCGCTGCTGCCGCTGGCGCCCTACGTGCGGTACCGGTTCAGGGTCATCGCCGCCAATGAGGTGGGCCGGAGCCGCCCCAGCAGGCCGAGCGAGCACCACGCAACGCCTCCCGCAGGTGGGTCTGCGCGTGTGTTTCCAGCCAGCGTTTTCAGTCTGGCCCGTTTGGCTGCCTCCACCAAGAACTGCTAGAGGGGTCTAGGCTTTTGGACTTTAGATTTCCCCCCAAGACTGAGCTCAGAAAGTCCTGTGAACTAACAGCGCAGCAGATACTCAGACCACACCGGCTCCCTCAGAAGGGATGCGAGCGAGCATCTCGCTGAGTGACTTCTGAGAGCGGAGCATCCTGGTAAAGTCACCTGCCGGGGGAGTTCAAGCTGAATCTCAATGAGTAGAAAGTCAGAGACTCCACTTGTTTGTTTTTGTGTTTTTGGTAATCCTCACCCAAGGATATTTTTCCATTGATTTTTAGAGAGAGTGGGAGGGAAGGAGGGGGAGAGACAGAGAGAGAAACATTGACGTGAGAGAGACACACCCACGGGTCGCCTTCCCGCATGTGTCCCAACCAGAGCTAAGAATCAGGCCTGCACCAAGGTGTGTGCCCTTCACCAGAATCGAACCTGGGACCCTTCCATCCATATGCTGGTGCTCTATCCACTGAGCCAAACTTGAAGAGCAGTTTTAAAATTAAGATCCCCTGGAAGTAAACCATCTGCTGCTCTCCATGGAATAATTATGACTCCAGGAACAGGACTTCACTCCTTTAAATAAAATCTATGTTTTAAAGCCACCTCATAGGATGAGCTAAAGTTATTGTGGTAATCATCTTGCAATTTATGCATACTAGAGGCTTGGTGTGTGAATTTGCACACCGGTGGGGTCCCTCGGCCTGGCCTGCGCCCTCTTGTAATCCAGGACCCCTCGGGGGATGTCGGAGAGCTGGTTTCGGCCCTATCCCTGCAGGCCTGATACAGACAGGAGGGAGTCCAATCCTGTGCGTTGAGCATCTGTCCCCTGGTGGTCAGTGTGTGTCATAGTGACTGGTCGTCCGGTTGTTCAGTCACTTACACTTTTATTATAGATAAGTATAAACTGTATGTCTATATTTGAATATAGTCTTATATCATCAAATCATTACATTGCCCACCTTAAACTTACACAATGTTATATGTCAATTATATCTTAGTAATGCTATCTTAAATCTTTTCAGGGACTGAGCTTGATAGGAATCAATAAGTATATCAAAGTTATTTAATATATTAATTTACAGGGGCGGGAGGCAATATGATGATTTGTCTATGGGCCATACAATGGGAAAAATAATTCTAATGCTTGTCATTTTTCAGCTCCAGACAAGAATCCACAAAACATAAGGGTTCAAGCCTCTCAGCCCAAGGAAATGGTTATCAAGTGGGAGGTGTGTATTCTCTAACGTGTTTCTTCGTGTCTTTTCCTCTCTCTTAGCTCTGCTTGCTAAGTACAAGGGAAGGACAGTATTTTTAAGAAAAAGAAGATAAGATATTTAGGTTATATCATCATAGTTTACGAATATATTATATTTGTATGTGTTAAAGAACACCGAGATTTCAATGCTGTGAAAAAGAGTTTTGTGGCAGTAAATAATTTAAAGAAGGTTATTCAGGGTAGACCAAGACTCAAAACTGGGTGGCATTTCTTTGTATATGTATTTTTTATCGAATTTTTAGAGAGAGAAGAAGGGAAAATGAGAGAGAGAAAAGTTGATGATAGAGAATCATTGATTGGCTGCCTCCCACACGCCCCCTACTGGGGATCGAGTCAGAAACCCTGGAATGGGACCATGCCCTCCTGGTTCCTAGGTTCATGCTCAACCACGGAGCCACTCTGGTGGGCTTGGGTAGAGTTTCTTAGTTGACTCTTTCTTATGAAAAGTTCGACTTGACCCCAAGGATAGAATCCCAGCATCCGAACCGTAGGGCTCTGAAGATGGGAGGCGGTGAGGGACCGACTTGCACCCTTCCCAGAGTGACAGCAGTGCTCTCTGAAGAGGGGGTGAGCTCTCCGCGGAGGCGGCCCGCCGCCCAGCCTTCCTCACACCGCACACACTGTCACCTTCCTGACCGCGTGTCCGTGTCACTGACTGTCCTGCCTCTGCCTTAGCCGCTGAAGCCCCTGGAGCAGAATGGGCCTGGGCTGGAGTACAGAGTGGCCTGGAAGCCCCTGGGCGCCCCTGGGGAGTGGGAAGAGGAGACGGTGCGGGAACACAGCCTCCGGGTGATGACTTCGGCCGTCTACGCCCCCTACGAGGTCCAGGTCCAAGCCCTCAACCACCTGGGTGCCGGCCCCGAACCCCAGTCCGTGGTGCTCCACTCCGGGGAAGACTGTGAGTGACTCCTCGAAAGCAGACCCTCTCTCTCCAGGAGGCTGTGCCTCTGTCCATGACGTCCCAGCATCCTCTGCCCGCGGGGAGAGTCCTGGCTGGGGGAGGGGCTCGGGAACTGCGGCTCCTTCCTGAGGGTGAGGGTGGGACACGCAATTGATGGGTGTAGAGAGTGAGGATGTGGGAGGAAGGTTTTCATCCTCTTGAATCCCCAAGAAAGCTATTTCTATATGGAAAAGCAAAGACCTGCCCTCATCCCTGCAGTCCGTTACACAGCAAACTCTACTTGGTTTCCAGTTGTCTTTGCCCTCACACCTCAGAGACCTTGTGCCCCACCCCTGCCCAGTGCCCCGTGCCCCGCCTCCTGCCCCTCCCCTTGCTTCCTGACCCCTGCCCCATGCCCCGCCCCCTGCCCTGCCTCCTGTTCCATGTCCACTTTGAGGACCAGCATATCCCTTTGGGGTGAGAGCCTCCTGGCTCCCTGGGAACCGGCTCCACGGCAGAGCTTTTGTGAGGTTACACCACATGAAAAATCTTCTTTTCTTAAAAATACATTTTTATTGATCTCAGAGAGGAAGGGAGAGAGGGGAGAGAGAGAGATAGGTAGATAGAAACATCAGTGATGAGAAAGAACCATTGATCAGCCACCTTCTGCGGATCAAGCCCGCAACCCAGGCATGCGCTCTTACATGGCATTGAACCATGACCTCCTGGTTCATAGATGGACGCTCAGCCTCTGAGCCACACTGTCCGTCCCGGTGGAAAATCAGCTTTGAATGGGTCCCAGTCGCCACGTTCAGGGCTCTGGAGACCCGACCTCCCTCTCGTGCCCGCAGACCCCGACGCGGCCCCGGTGGTCCACGGCGTGGACGTGGTGAACAGCACGCTGGCGAAGGTGACCTGGTCCTCGGTGCCCAAGGACAGAGTGCACGGGCGTCTGAAGGGATACCAGGTTCCTACCCCTTCCTTCCCCGCGGACTGTGCCTTTCCCACCGGCCACGGCTGCTTCCGGAGGCAGGGGGCCCCGGAGCCCGCGCCCGCCCGCGGCCGGCAGGGTGACGCCCCGTTTCCATGGCAGATAAACTGGTGGAAGACGAAGAGCCTGGCGGACGGGAGGACGCTCCCCAAGGAGGTGAGCGTCCTGCGGTTCCCGGGCCAGCGGAGCTCCGGCATGCTGCCCGCGCTGGACGCCTTCAGCGAGTTCCACCTGACCGTCCTGGCCTTCAACGCCAAGGGCGCTGGTCCTGAGAGCGAGCCCTACGTCTTCCAGACCCCGGAGGGAGGTGAGGCGGCGGCGCGGGGAGGAGGCCCGCGGGGAGGGGTGGTCCAGCGGCTGAACCCATGGCAGCGAATCTGTGACCCACGGGTTTGCCTCTTGATTTCAGTGAAAGATGACAGGGCTCCGGGGCTGTCGTTTTTAACTCTCCAAGGGCCTGCTCTTGTTTTCAGTGCCCGAACAGCCAGCCTTCCTCAAGGTCATCAAAGTGGACAAGGACACGGCCACTCTGGCCTGGGGGCCGCCCGGGAAGCTGAACGGACACCTCACCGGCTACCTGCTGCAGTACCAGATAAGTAGGTGGAAAGGCGAATTGGATGCACCCGCCAGTCCACGTGTCCACGTTGCGCGGAGCGTGTGGCCCGTCTGCGGAGGCCTCGTGACCGCCCCGTGGGCAGCGGGCCTCCTGCTGGTGCGGGGCCCGGAGGACTGGCTCAGAGCCTCCGCCCACCCCCCGCCGGGTTTTAGGAAGAAAGCGTTAGGGGACACAGCCACGTGCGTGCTTTTGTATTTATCCAAAGTGCTTTCTCGTGGCGGTGTCCACGTTAGGACTGAGAGAGCCTCCTCCACACAGGCTAACATAGTGACAGTCTAGTCCTTCTCCGAAAGGTTCGCCAAACCCCGGGTTAGTGAAACCAGCATGCCGCCGGGAGGCAGGGAACATGTGTGTGGTGTTTATGGATAAGATACTTCGAGCCATCGGCTAGCTCTCCGTCCAGAGGACCTCAGCTCGCCCTTGCTCAGCCTCGGAGAAGGAAGGGAGCGGGTAGCTCCGAACAATTAGTGTTGGGAAGACACCAGGCACACGGAGAAGCAAAACTAAGGGCGGCGGCACTTTTATTATTACAATTGCCACGTTCTTTAAAAACGTTTTTTTTTTAATTTTAAGAGGAAAGGAGAGAGAGAGAGAGAGAGAGAGAGAGAGAGAGAGAGAGAGAGAGAGAGGGAGGAAATCAATGATGAGAGAGATTCATTGATCCTCTGCCTCCTGCACGCCCCACACTGGGGATCTGGCCTGCAACCCGGACATGTGCCCTGACCAGAAATCGAACGTGCCCTCCTGGTTCGTAGATGGACGCTCAGCCCCGGAGCCACGCCGGCCGGGCTGAGGCATGGTTCTCTCTCTGTCTCCTAGTAAACGACACCGAGGAGATCGGAGAGCTGAACGACGTCCACATCACCGCCCCGGCCAAGGCCAGCTGGCGGCTGTCCAACCTCAACGCCACCACCAAGTACAAGTTCTACGTGAGGGCTTGCACGTCCCCGGGCTGCGGGAAGCCCGTCACGGAGGAGGCGGCCACGTTGGGAGAGGGCAGTAAGTACAGGAGCCTAGGGGACGCAGCTGCACCCGAGGAAGGCGTGCCCGTGCGAGTCTGCTGGGCGTGCCAGTTAGGGGTCCCGGGACCTTGGACGGTCACCCTCGGTTCTCCACCCACACAGACCCAGAATGCATTTCTCTTGTTCGTAACGTTCACATTGGTTCAGGGTATGGGATTCTGCACGACAGTCATAGCTCAGCGTGTGTAAGGTCAGGGGGCTGCTGTTTGACTTAATGAAAATAAGGGCCATGAGGACATAAAGTTATTCATAAGGTCAGTGGGAGGGTATTTTCCTTTTGGAAATGTTTCCAGACGATGTGCAACACTGATCTAACACACGTTTCACTCACCCCTGCACACGCTGACTCATGCCCCGATTTTATGTGCCTGTCCAGTGGCTGGTGGTGCATGACTGACCTGGAAATGGCCAGCCAGACTGGTTTCATTTGCACAGTTTGTCTAATTTTAGTTGCACTTTTCTTTTTCCAACTCAGAACCATTTCTGTCCCCAAATTATTTCTCCAGCCACGAAGTGAGCCATGTTCTTGCTAAGCTCACCCTGCCACCAGCAGGGCCTCAGGAGCGAGATGAGAAAGCGGAGTGAGAACAAAAGGCCTGAGTGAGGTCCACATGATGGGACCTGGAGGGATATTTGGGGACAGGAAGCAGGAGAGGGAGATGGCCGGGACCCCCTCCCGCTGGATTTCAGCTCGATCTTGGGGAAAACACACACACACACATTTTCACTGAGGAGCTGTACCTTTTTAAAAAAATGTATTTTATTGATATTTTCACAGAGAGGAAGAGAGAGGGATAGAGAGTTAGAAACATCGATGAGTGAGAAACATCTATCAGTTGCCTCCTGCATACCCCCCACTGGGGATGTGCTTGCAACCAAGGTACATGCCCTTGACCTTTCAGTTTGCAGGCTGACGCTCTATCCACGGAGCCAAACAGGTTTTGGCATGGAGGAGCTATATCTTGATATCACAAAACCCTCCCCAAGTGATGCCTTTTGTCAGATTGGGGTGTGCGTGTCTTTCTTCTCGCTCTGCCTCCACAGCGCACGCGTTCGGAGGACGGGGTTGGCCCGTTTTGTGATTATTGTCTGGTTGTCACTCGGTCCATAATCTCAGAGGGAGAAGACGGGGTTCATAAGAAACAGGCTTCTGTGTGCCCTTAGTGGTCTGCACAAAACACTGGCTTCTCTGTTAGTCAAAAGCTTGTGCAACTTCGTGGTCTATTAATACTTCTGTTCCTCAAAGTCAGAGCTAACCGCCTTCTGTTCCGATGGTGCTCAAGCTTACCTCTCTGCTCCGCCAAGGTCACGGCCCCCCCTCCTGCCCAGGTGCCGTCGGGAGCGAGCCAGTGAGCGGGGCCCTTTGTCCTCAGAAACTCTGCCTCGCTCCCCCCTCGTTGGGACGTCATCCCTAAGGCTCAACACGTCTCGTCGTATCCCATTGCGAACAGAGTTTCACCACCCGTCAACATAGGGAATATATCTTACTTTTGAATGCATTGTTAACATTTCCCGGTTTCCATTTAGAATGTGGAGTCGATTCTTAGCAGAAATAGGTATTTTGGCTATTTTGTTGCATGACCAGACATCCAGTATGTCTTTCAATCACACTTGACTCCTGTGTCTCTCTGCAGCGATGAGTTTTTACAATGGCCGTGTTGGCACGCTCATGGTTTTCTTTGAAAAGTGTCCGTTTCTCAGAGCACGTCCAAGCCTCGGTGCATTGTGGGTATATGTGCCTGGAAACCTGCACTTCCTGTTGCTTACGTCCCTACAAATTCCCCGCACTTACCGTGCGGCCGCATCCGGATGCTGCTCCATTGGTCTCTATGGAGACGAGCTGGGCAAAAAGCAGCAGCGTAGCATGAAGGTAGCCTGCGCTTCCAGCAACAAGCCCCCGTGGCGTGTCAGTTCAAATTCTGCAAAAGGATGATGTGCCATTTTTTTTTTTGAGGTCCGTGTTTGGTTTGGAACCATTCACCTGACCAGGTAGACTTCCTAGTACGCACAGCATTTACTTATTATATCAGCGTGTACGTCATCCCAACGGGCCATGCATCAGCTCAAGACATTTACCGAATTCCAGGATATGAAAAAAAATAGGACCTGTTCATTGTATTGATCCTCCTGATCACTCAGGAACTCTCTCAGGGGGAAGGATGCTACCCGCTGCTCTCTCTTTCCTCCTGACTAAACATCTCTCTGTTTCCCACCTTTCGCCCGCTTCGCCTGCTCCCATGCCTGTGCTGTCCTGGTGCGTCCTCAGGCAGAGGTGTCGGGAAGCTCCCGGAAGGAGTGAATGCCACCGAACAGGCTCAGCCCCCCGAGGTGCCTGAGCCCGGAGCCGAACACGAGGTCCGCCTCCTGCCCAAGAACTGGGCCGGGAACAATAGCATTTTTGAAGATGTGATTGAGGCAAGAGGGAGAGGTGAGAAAGGGGGCAGCCGTGGGCAGCACCCTGCGTCCTGTAGATTGCTAATGCCCCCCCCTCCCTCCCTGCATGAAGGGTAAAAATGTGTGCAGTGTGCTCCCTGTCAGGAAGCAGTTTCCATTTGTTTTGCATAGCGGTTTATTTATTAGTTAGTTTTTTTTAAATCCTCACCGAGGAGAGTTTTTCCATTGCTTGTTAGGGAGAGTAGAAGAGAGAGGGAAAGGCCGAGAGAAACATCGATGTGAGAGAAACACATCGATTGGTTGCCTCCTGCACACGCCCTGAGCAGGGCCCAGGCTGGGGAGGAGCCTGTGACCGAGGTAGGTGCCCTTGACCTGAATCGAACTGAGGACCCTTCGGTCCACAGGCCGACGTTCTATCTTCCCACCGGGCTAACAGCCCAGGGCATCAGCATAGCGTTGAAAACTATCCAGATGAAAAGCTTTGCACGGATCCTTCTCCCTGACTGCTCTTTCTGGAATAGTTGCCTAAACTAGCTCCTGCTTATTAACACACGTGAATAACAAAAACTAAAACACACACACACACACACACACACACACACAAAAAGGAACTCGGACCCCAGAGTCACCAAGGCAACCTGCAGCAGACTGAGGTGGCTTCTGCTTGCGCTTCTGCCGCTGCGAGCTCGCCTCGACTGCCCGCCTGTCCCCCGCCTTCTGTCCTCACACTCACCCCCGCCAGAGGGGCCGTCCCCAGGCCGGAAAGCGCCCTTTGTCCACGTGCTCCCCAGGAAGTGTCCTCCACGTCCCCTCCCCTCCAGGGTCCCCGGAAGGAGGCACAAAACAGATGCCGTGTTGTGTGTTTATCAATGAGGTGTCCCTTCCCCGAAAGGGGCCGGAGCTGCGGGCTCCCCGGCCTTCAGCGTGTGGCTTCTGTGTGCAGAGTATGCCGGCCTGTACGATGACATCGCCACGCAGGGCTGGTTCATCGGGCTCATGGGCGCCATCGCCGTCCTCACCCTCGTGCTGCTGACCATCTGCTTCGTGAAGAGGAACCGAGGCGGGAAGTACTCAGGTAGAGGGCTCCTCTTGCTTGTTTCTGTTTATCGGGGCAGCAGTGCACTCACAGAAGCAGCCTGAGCATCCTCTGAGGGACACATGGCTGCCGTAGACGTGGTACCTCCACACAGTGGAGTGCTACACAGCCGTGAAAGGGACGGATGCCGCCATTTGTGGCAGTGTGGGTGAGTCTTGTGAGTGGCATGCCAACTGGATAGGTCAGATGGAAAAGGACAGGAACCCTGTGATGTCACTCCTGCGAAATAAAACTAAAAAGCAGCCAATGAGCAGATAAGTTTGTTTTTACTAGAATTTTCGATTGATTAAATATTATCCTCTAGGGGGCACTCTTCAAGATGTCTATTACCTTCTAAATACACATATAGGTTAAATTTACAGGAGCACGTTAGAGATGCCGTGTCTTGTGAGGAGAAACCATTCCTGTAGTAACTGACCAAGGCGGGCATTGTCTGCAGGTGGTTACACACTTTCCAGTTTCCGGTACTTAACATGGGCCCTAAGGAGACTTACAATACTTCCCAGCTTCTCTCTTTTAAAAAAAAAATAAATAAATAAATTATTGATTTCAGGGAGGAAGGGAGAAGGAGAGAGAGAAACACCCATGATGAGAGAGAGTCATTGACCAGCTGCCTCCTGCACGCCCCCTACTGGGGATGGAGCCCACAACTTGGGCCTGTGCCCTGACCATGAATCAGACCGTGACCTCCTGGTTCATAGCTTGATGCTCAACCTATGAAGCTTCTTGTTTTTATTTGTAAGATAGCAAAGATGGTGAGAAGACGTATTCCCGAGTCACACACACACACACCCATATTTTAATATATATAGAAGGAAGGATCCCAAGGGGGAGGTGGCTCCCACATCTGAGACGCAGGGGTTTCTTTGCTCCAATGCATTCTCAGAGCACTGGCCTCGCTAGTCAACCAAGCAGAGTCAGCCGTTGCTGGGAGTGCACGTCTTTCAGCTCTGACTGGTGTCAGCTATGCTGCCCCTGCGTAAGGGGCACATAAAATGTCAACAAAACCCATCTTAGCATAATGGTTGTTTTTGCCTAATTTCATTCAATTTCCAAATTCATTTTACCTTACTCAGATGTGCGTAGTGTGCTTTGTTCCTGTTATTTTCCCTTAGTATCCCCGAGGCCTTTGTGTGGGAAGGGGTTGCACCCAAGGCTGTGAGTTTGATGTTCATTGAGGGACAGTGCATTGGCGTGTGATTCGTCCAGCACATGCTAATTGGGGACCCTTATGTGGAACAAACAAATGAGCACACCGTCTACGTTCCTGTAACATTTATGCAGTAATGCATCTTGTTTTCTGTCTGTGGAGAGGGATTGCCGTGAATTAGATTTTCAGGACAGATGACTGCTGGGTAACTCACTAGCAGCTTTACTTTTTCTTTTCTTTTCTTTTTTTAATTCATTGATTTTTCACAGAGAGGAAGGGAGAGGGATAGAGAGTTAGAAACATCGATGAGAGAAAAACATCGACCAGCTGCCTCCTGCACACCCCCCACTGGGTATGTGCCTGCAAGCAAGGTACGTGCCCTTGACGAGAATCGAACCTGGGACCCTTGAGTCCGCAGGCCGATGCTCTATCCACTGAGCCAAACCGGTGTCGGCTCTCTGGCATGTGCCCCGAACAGGAATCAAACCGTGACCTCCTGATTCATAGGTTCGTAGGTTGACGCTCAATCCCTGAGCCACGCAGCCGGGTCAATAGTTGGCTTCTGCTCTCTTCAGCGTAACGACAGGGCTCTGAGGGGAGGCGTGACCTCTTCCAGACGGTTAGGAGTGCACCACTGGGTCCTCAGCGGCCAGGGCCGAGCCTGGGAGCCACAGAGTGCAGGGTGAATACATGGAAACGGGCGATGGACCGGGGCTCGATGACAAAGAGGGAGGACCCAGAAAAGCCCCTTTCCCTCACGAGGTAACGGGCGGAGCGAGAGCCCAGCACAGGCACCGTGCCCAGCTCATCGGAGGTGTGAGCTCTGGGAGGTTATGGGCCACCCGCCCGCCTCCGGCTGCTGTGCCTTTAGACACATTCCCACTGTTCGCTTCTCTCTCTGCTCCAGTGAAGGACAAGGAGGACCTGCACCCGGACCCAGACGTCCAGTCGGGGAAAGACGAGACCTTTGGGGACTACAGGTGAGCGTGGCCAAAAAAAAAAAAAAAAAATCTTTTAAAAAAGGAAAGTAGTTCCTCCGTTGCTCAGAATGCCACAGAGGGGTTGTGATCTTTGAAACGTGTGTCTGTGAGAGGGTATCCGTCTCCCCTGGTGACGATGCCCTGAGCACAGACCTCTGCTCCACCCTTGCCGCTGACCTGCTCTCTCTCCTCCCCCAGCGACAGTGACGAGAAGCCTCTGAAGGGAAGCCTCCGGTCCCTCGCGCGGGACCTGCCTGCCACGGAGAGCGCCGACAGCCTGGTGCCCTACGGGGAGGGGGACCATGGCCTGTTCAGCGAAGATGGGTCCTTCATCGGCGCCTACGCGGGCTCCAAGGAGAAGGGCTCGGTGGAGAGCAACGGCAGCTCCACGGCCACCTTCCCGCTGCGTGCGTGAGTGCCACGCGTGGGCGCCACCTGTGGGAGCCACGTTCCCCCTGCGAGCGTGGCCTTTCCTGTGGAGCCACGTTCCCCCTGTGAGCATGACCACTGCCTGTGGGAGCCACGTTTCCCCTGTGAGCGTGGCCATTCCCGTGGAGCCACGTTCCCCCTGTGAGCATGACCACTGCCTGTGGGAGCCACGTTCCCCTTGCCCATGTGGCCACCAAGTGTGGGAGAGACTGTCCCCCTGCAAGTGTGACTACCACATGTGGGAGCCACGGTCCCCCTGCCTGCGTCGCCTCCACGTGTGGGGGTTGTGTTCCTGCTGGAATTGTGGCTGCCTCATGTGGGCATCAGTGGTTCCCACCCACCTCCTGTCTGTTGGCTCTCGGGCCCAGAGCGAGCACCCGGGACCCTGCACTGCCAGAGGCTTCTGGCCGGACCCCCACGCCCTGCAGCCACGCGGAGCAGACAGCACTGCCGTGAACCAGTAACATGCGCTGAGCGCCGCGGGCCTCTCGCCGTTGGTCCGTGTTCTTTCCAGGTGCTGAACATGCAGAACACGGAGCAGCCGTGTGTCGGTCCATGAATCCAAAGTGTCTGTCCTTGTGTTCCGTCCCCACCGGCCGCGTTTGCACAGACATGGCGGCCCCGCAGGGTCCCTGTTTGCACGAGGGCGCTCCTGGCTGGGGAGCCTGGGTGAGCGCACCCCTGCAGGTTAGCAGGTAGACGGGGGAGCACCCCGGTTATTTAAGTGTAAAGAGGAAAATGAATGTCTTATGAAAATCGTTGGTTGTCCGTATGCAGTCAGAGTTTATTATTTAAGTTTAGGAGAAGTCTTAGATGCACGGCCCGCGAGAGCTGACTGAGCGCTCTCTGCCCGGAGACCGTCCCGTTCGAGCAGCGGCCGGACTCGCTCAGCTGTGATGCCGGCCCACATCCTGGGGGCGTTTTGTTCTTGGACCGAATCCAGCTGCAGAAGAAGCCGTGTCCCAGGCAATTCCTCACACGGCCCAGGGTGGTCGCCGTGGCTCCGTGACACCTCGGCTCCCACCACGACTACCCCCCCTCCTGCTGTTCCCCTAACTGTAGCTGCATTCATGCTGATGTTCACAGCAGAGGAGGTGGGGCTGGAGGGCAGAGGGAGGACACGAAAGATGCCGTTCCCACCATCCCATGGCCATGCCCGGGCCATGTGGCTCCCTCACCCGGCTCTGCACACAGCTCCTGGATTCTGTCTCCTCTGTGGCCTCCACCAAGGGTCTTACCGAGCATGTCCCACAGCGAGGGAGGGAACGTCTTCATGTTTTTTCAACATAAGTTTTGTTGGGTAGGAGTGTGCCCCTCCATCGTGGGCTGGCCGCGGTTGGCATGTTCTGTGTCCTCCTGGCGATGTCAGTGCCAGGGGAGGGGATTCGTCTCCTTGCACGTGGGCTGCCCTTCCGTCTGAAATTGTCCAGGAAGACGTGTAGAAAGAGACGGAGACCCGTGCATGCGCGTCGGCGACCTGCAGTGCTCAGCTCGCAGTGTGGAAACATCTCGCACTCAGACCCCGTCGTTGTGTCTGTGCTAATCTGGTCCCCAGGTTCCGCCTTCCTTCCGGAGCTGTGGCTGCAGGTGTCCCTGCTCGTGAACTACCCTTGGCTTCGGTGTTCGTTGCATCTATCTATCTAGCTGTCGTCTTAAACCTCGTGTGTGGTCCAAAATGCATGGGCAGGAAAGAATGAGTTAAAACTGACTTAAGGGTCAGGATCGGAGAGCCCCCTGCACCCCAAGCACGTGTTTCCAGTGGGGAGCCTTGGTCCTCGCCTTGTGTGCACCCCGAACTCTGTCCGCATCTGGTTTCCAAGGATCCGCTTTCCTGGAGGCGGGATCCTCACGTGCTGACCGCTCCGGGGGAAGTCTGGTCCCCGCCTCCTGAGGAGGCCAAGGTCGTGACTCGGGAGCTTCGTTCCTTGGAGACATTGGTTCCTGGTCTTTGACGTCAGGTCTTAAGAGAATCACGTAAACAGGAAGCAGTCTCCGAAAAGCATCGGGAGCTGGTTTATGATGAGTCAATAATCTCCAGTGAGAAGTCAACCCAGAGGCCAGATATTTCCTTTTCCGGAATCGTTGCGCTCCCTTCGCTGGGGGACACGGAGGTCCCTTCCGAGTGGCCCAAACCAAGGGACACAGAACATACACCAGCCTTTGGTGGCCTTTCTCGGTCTCCCCTGACCTCTCCTCCGTGCATCTGGCCTCTTCTCCCGGGAACCCCCCCGCTCAGAAGGACTAGATCCCAGACCGACTTTCTCGGACCCACTGCTTCTTTGATGTCACAGGTTGTGTATTCTCGCGAGGACTCTCGGTGGAATGACCGAGGCTTGGGGAGATCCCGGTTCCCTCCCGGTCCCAGCACCGACTTTGTACAGAAACCCCGACACAGGCACACGTGGCTGGACCCCCTTGGCTTCAAACGGTCTCAACTCTCAAGTGCTAACCATGATCTCAGTTACCTTCTCTCTGTCACAGGGTGTTCTTCTCTACGGAGAAAAAAAAAAATGAAAATAATAAAAGCTTAAGATGCCTTCAAACTCAATAAGCAAACCCATACTCCGACGATGTACCGAAAAGTCACCCCACGCACACCCACGCAACGCTTTCCCGTGAGCACATAAATATATTTTTATAGGAAAACAAACCTACAGGAGGTCCGCTGTCCCATGAGCAGCGAGACACGCACACACCATCAGACATGACGAGTCCGACGAGAAGGAAGCAGGGTCTTTTCTGTACAGAAGCGACGTCATGAGCTTCGCACGCATGCTCATGAGCCGATGTGAATTCTTCGGTGGGTGTGTTCTATTCGTGTAAAGGCGTCTGCTATTTTGGATGTCCCCGTGTTTGTAAGAAATGTAAAGCACAAGGGCATGGTGCCGGAAGCCTCAAATAGTATTTTTCCCCCCCTATTTTATACTCGTGGAGGAGATGAGCTGAAGAGAGGGACCGATCATGAGAAATGGTGTTTGGCTTTTCTAAGCATTGAAAATTTGGCTGCCCGCCAAAACCCTAGTTCTGTTTACATGCCACTAAGATAGGGTTCCTGGCACAAGGTGGTGTGGGTTCAAAGGGGCTGGTGTGCACTCTGTGGCAGCCTGGGCATGGAGGCTCCAGTGGGGCAGCTGTGTGACCCCACTGTGTGTCTTACACACCACGTGATGATGTCATCAGTAGAGATGACGTGTGCAACTGGCTTACTGGATTGCTATTTTTTTTTTTTTTTTTTTTTACTTAGGTTGATATTCATAGCAGAACTTTATTGAAATGTGTTTGTGTTGTAGGTGGTGTTGTACTATGCCTGTGACTACGTATGGTTTAAAACTATTTTCATCATCCATGAGACTCAACTTTCCAAATAAAAGTTTGACTTCATGAACTCTACATGCATTTGTATTCTTTTCTGTCCGGATGAGAATCAGGATTTACGTATCATCCTCACCTTCCGTATCTTTGTGAAGTATAAACAAGATATCCACGCAGGATAAAGACAGTATTTTTATTTGAATGCTTGTATTTACAATAGGCCATTTACAATCAATATCTCCAACAGATCCTCTGCTGGTAAGTTCTCTACTGAAGGTTAATATAAAACCGAGGCGAATGCATACTCGTATCTGGTTGTTTGTAAGACAACACAGAAATGTCACTTTTCAAGAAAATGGCTGATCACTGTCCTTTCCCATAAGGCTGCTGGGTACCTGGGACTCCTAGTGGGGCTCAGCAGACCATCTCCTGGAAACTGAATTTTGAAAGTGCTGTGTGTGTGTACTAAGCATGTTACACACATCAGCGGCTGACATCCGGGACAACCTTCTCTTTGTGGAACAGGAGCACGGGATGCTTCCTGGTGAGTGTGGCCAGTGGTGGGAGATAGAGCTGTCTGTCTCACTCCCAAACCCGGGCTGGAGCCACGCTGGTATATTTCCTCCCCACCCCCTTCACCTCCTCTCAGAAATGCTGAAGGAAGGTGAGCTTGGGATCAAGTCTGACTGATGGATCATGTTTAGAAGACTTGACTTTTACATACATGGTCAAAACATACACAGGGGAAACTATATATGTAAAAGCCTAATATGCAAAGTGTGCCCTCGGGAGTTCGATCACTTGCTATAATGTGCACTGACTACCAGGGGGCAGTGTGGAATGAAGGAAGGTCCTAGCGGGCAGCTGCAGCTGCTAAGGACCCTACCCGTGCACAAATTTCGGGCACTGGGCCTCTAGTGTTGTATATGCATTTCGGCTGTGGAATGGCACAGCCTGAAAAGCAATCATTTAAATACACTGGTAAATGTGCCCTATCCCAGTTCTCCTGGGCAGACACAGCAGCCAGTCTTACTGAGCCTGCAGCTCCTTGTAGACTCGGTCTAAGTCTCGTCGTAACTGCCTGTCCCCCTCACTGTCTCAGCCATCCAAGGCCTGATTGTCTCTTGCACACAGGGCATCGCGAGAGATTTGAGCCCAGGATCCCTCGGAGATCTGAGGCTTGTGAATTTGACCTCCTCCACGCCTCTCTTCTCTGTCTCAAAGTGCTGGTTTCGGGAGCGGAAGCATAATTCTGGGGGAGACACGTTTGCATGATAACATGTTACGTTCCCGTGTTGAGAGTAAGAACTGTGTGTGAAGTGGATTTGAAAACACCCAGAACATGCATCTCATAGTTGTACCCTTTTCATAAAGGGTGTAATGAAAAGGCTCATCCAGTAGGTGGGAGTGTTTCAAAGAAAGAGTCCCCAAGGCCCAGGGCCTTTTCCATTCCTGGACAAGGGCAAACGCCGCCAGGGTTGCAGGCTTGATGCCCAGTGTGGGGCGTGCAGGAGGCAGCCCATGGATGACGCTCTCTCATCACGGATGTTTCTCTCTCTCCCTTTCTCCCTTCCTCTCTGACATCAATAAAATCCATGTAAGTTATATATTGAAGAAGGGTTTTCTTATGCTGGATCTGGTGTTGCAAATCCAACGCAGGAAGGGCATTGACCCGAAGCCAGGTCAGTGGCTGGGGTCAGAGCCTGGGGTCAGCCCGGCGCTCCGCCCCCGGCTCCCACACCCAGCGGGTCTCACTCCGAAGGGGCTTGTGAAGCGGCTGTTTCCTCTCTGACGTTCCCACCCCTGGGGCTGGGTGGGGAGGGGGCCGCCTTCTCCCCAGGGTTATGTGGGGGGAGGGATGGGAGTCTCCCTATAATTTTAAGCCCCTCCCTACGACAAAAAGAGGCTCCATTGTAGTTATTGATACGGCTCGCGAACACCGGTTAATAGGAAAAGGCATGGCCACCTGGCGGGCCCTTCCGGTGTCCACACAGGGGCCGCGGGTCCACTGGCTCTGCCTGAAGGCGGGCCCGGCTCCCACAGCAGCCGATGGCGGGGAATGCTCCGTGTGTGGGAGAGAGTAGTGGTGGGTACTCTGGGCTCACAACATGAGTTTGTGAACAGAAGAGTGTGCAACTTACCCCCAGCAACCGTATCTCCTCCCTGAATCAGGCAACGTTTCCACAGGTGAGTGCACGTAGCTGTTAGTCAAGGTCAGACCAACCCTGCGCTTGGCTGTGGCCATTAGGGCTGCTGCACACCCACCCCTCCCCCAGCCCCCCAAACCCCCATGTGCCGGGCCCTTTGGCTCCGGGGTCACGTACATGAAGACAAGACCTGCTTGTTTTGCACAGGCTCCAGCGATCTCATCAGCCACGTGACCTCCCCCACGCGGTGGGAATGAAACTCCGTCCACGGCCAGGCCTAAGAAAAATAGGCTCTCCCGCGCCCATGTTTTCCATTTCCTGCCTCATCACCGTCCCCACGCTGTAGGCACCGGGCGGAGGGCCAGGAATCTCCTTCTATTTAGAGAGAGAAGTCCCATCTCACTACCTGGGCCAGAAGTAACTCCAGAGCCCAGATCACGCCTCAGAGGGCCTCAGAGGGCCCCGAACACCTGGCTCTGAGGACAGGGGTGCCCCCACCGAAGGAATGAAAGCTCTCAGGGCTGGGGGCTGGAGGTGCAGACTTTCCACAAGGGACGCAGGGATTCTCACGAGGAGCCACATGGGGGTTCAGGATTTGAGGACCAGACGGGCACCAGACAGAGCTTGCTGTTCAGGGGGCCGAGCTCAGAGGTGAGGGGTGGTGACCTAGGGTGTGGGTGTCCCTGCTGGGCAGCAGGAAGGGGCGGGACCCAAAGCTTCACACTCCTGTTGGTTATCAGAGGCGAAGGGTCACGCGGCCTTGGGGATCTTGGCGCATGTGGGCCTCCATTATTTGGAAGACACGTTCAGGGAGAATAAAGGAGAGATGAGGACGGTACAGGAAAACCAGAAAGCTCAGACTGGGATCTCCGTGAGGTCATGCCCCCCTCCAACCCTCTCCTGTTTCTCTCAGTAGAAAGGTTGCCCTGCCTTCCATACAGGAAGTGGGGAACTGAGGCAAGTATTTTGAAACCCATTGAATCATCTGGTACTTGTTTCACGCTTCCACTCCAATGAGCCCTGATTCGCTCCCCGCTGAGTGAGCCCGGCAGGCCTGGCCCTGCTCGCTCCCTGTTGGGTTTATCACAGACGCAGCGTCTTACAAACAAATGGGGCCATGCACGCCTCTCCTCGCTGCCCATAGGGTTTCTTAGCTTCAGAAACATGGGCCATGAATAGCTATGTTTTTTTTCCACAAACATTTGCATCTCTCTTTCTCTTACTCATACACAGGCATATGCTCTGTAGCTATTTATTTTAATGCATTCTCACGAAAACTTTTAAAAAGTCCTCAGAGACTTAAAAAAAAAAAACTTTCTCAAGATGAATCATGATCTTACGATGAAAAATAGCAATGTTTTGTAACCTGCAAATTCATAACATAGTGGGAAGATCATTGAAGCTACTGCATATGCCAGGACACGAACATTTTCATGCTCTCTAAAAGTACATATTTTTATTGATTTTAGAGTGAGAGGAAAGGAGAGGGAGAGAGAGAGAGAAGCATCAATGATGAGAGAGCATCATGGATCAGCTGCCTCCTGTACACCCCATTGTGGGGACCTCCTGGTTTACAGGTCAATGCTCAACCACTGAGCCACCCCAGCCAGACTTCTCTGCTTCTTATAATTAGGTTGATGTGGCTATTTAATTTTTTAAAATATATTTTTATTGATTTCAGAGAGGAAGGGAGAGGGAGAGAGAGAATAAAACATCAATGATAAGAGAAAATCATGGATTGGCTGCCTCCTGTAGGCCCCCTACTGGGGACCGAGTCCACAACCCAGGCATGCGCCCTTGACCATAATCGAACCCGGATCCTTCAGTCCACAGGCCAATGCTCTGTCCCCTGAGCCACACCAGCTAGGGCTGATGTGGGTGTTGGAAGTCTGCTCCCACCTGGGCTCCTGGTCACAGCTTTCCCGGGAGGCCCTGCGTCCGCCGGATGCGTGAGCAGGTCCTCCAGGCCTGTGCCAGCTGGGACACAGGAGACGGCCTCACATCACGGTGTCGGGGGGCTGGGGCGAGTACCCCGGGAAAAAGCTAGCCTATCCTCGTGAGCACATTCTCACCTGCCGGCGGCAGGTGGGAGCTCCCTCTTCCATCCGATGAGGATACTGGGCAGTCCCCTTGCCGCCTCCGGAACCGAGTTCTGAGCTGTTTGCAGACTGAAGGTGTGTGCATGGGGACCATGGAGTGCAGACACCGCACAGGGCCACTCAGTGGAGCAGGGGCAGCCGGGCCCTGGAGACCCCAGCTTCGGAGGGCGTCCGGAGACAGGCAGTCACGCTGGGCCTAAAAGTCCCGTGTCCTGCCCGGCCGGAGTGGCTCATCGATGATGTTTCTCTCTCTCTCTCCCTCTCCCTCCCTCTCTGAAGTCAAAAATAGTGACTTAGAAAGCCCTTTGTCCTGCTTACGCTTCACACTGTTACCTGGACGTGAGGAGGCCCCTGGGGATTTGCTGAGTGAGCAATGGTCGTGTCTTTATCTGTTGTTCTTTCCAAGTCAGTTCTGTCGATGGCTCAAGAGCAAAGACTGTTTAATCCAGGTGAGAGGCGATGATCCCAGTGACGCTGAAGCGCGTGCTGCAGGCCAGGGCTGGTGGACGGATGCCCGTGGACCAGGACCTGCCTTTCCTCCCCGGTCAGTCCGCCCATGGCCGGCAGGGGGCGCTGGCCGAACACGCTTCATCAGCAGCCGGCGCTGAGCCGCTGATGCCCGCGGAATAGGGCTTTTCTCTCCCATTTTCCTAACAAAACAGCAGACATCTGGAAGGGATGAGCACGCCGGCCTCGGGAAAGGCCGATGGGTTTAGAATGGCCCTTCTCAGCACAACGGCCCCGCGGCCCTGCGCCAGGGCTGCGCGCCCGGCGACCGCGGGGACCGCAAGCGGAGAGAGCACACGGGCTCTGGGCGCCGCGGCCCCGGGAA